ATGTATACATTGGGCTTCCGTGGAAGACTGATGAAATTTGTGGAAAACTACCTGAATGGAAGAACCTTCCAGGTGAAGTGTGGTCGATTATCACAGATTTTTGAACAGGAGAATGGAGTCGTCCAAGGGGGAGTTGTTTCGCCGATACTTTTTAACCTGATGATAAATGATATTTTTGAAGGTATTTCAGATGAGTTCTCCTATGCTATGTATGCAGATGACTGTGCAATTTGGTTACAAGGAAGGCATCTTCCACAACTAATAACAACCATGCAAAACGCACTTGATTCCTTGGTGGAGTGGGCAGATACGTGGGGATTTACTTTCACGCCTACCAAATGTAATGCAGTGATATTTGGACGATATATGAAAAGAACTGAATTAGATCACATTTCCCTACTACGGATTAAAGACGAACCAATTGCATACTGTGACAATGTAAAGTTTCTTGGAGTGTTTCTGGACTCCAAGTTAAACTTGAACAAACATATCCAGTACGTTCGAGCCAGAGCATTGAAACGCATTCCCATATTGAAATGCATATCCGGACGTGAATATGGTGCCGACAGAACCATTCTGTTGAGGATGTACAAATCCCTTATACGTCCCATCCTAGAATATGCCTGTCAGGTCCTTGATGGACCAGCAAACAATGCAGTGCACTCCCTTGAAAGCATACAGAACGCGTGTTTGAGGGTAGCTACAGGAGCATTGCGGACTTCTCCGGTAATGGCACTGCAGGTTGAGTCACATGTACCGCCACTCTTCCTACGACGTTGGGAGATGACTGTCAGATATGCCCTAAAAGTGACAGGATACGATGAACATCCATGTCGAGACTACATTGACGGGACCTTTACTCTACCTGACCTAGAGTGGGGATATATTAAGCGAATATCTGGATTCCCCTTCTATGAACGTCTGCAACATGTCGCCCGAAACCTTCGGATAGTTCTTCCCAATGATGTGACGCTTAAAGCCAGTGCTTACCCTGTATGGCAGCGACACCAGTGTGACGCACATAAACTAATTGAACAGCAGAAGGCTAATTTGGAGAGATGTGATGTTTTGCAGGCCTTTGAAGAGTTTAAGGGTACACACCCTGGATATCATTTCCTTTACACTGACGGTTCGAAAAGTGAAAGGGGCGTGGGATGTGCTTTCGTGCACGGAAACATGCAGTATAAAACGAAACTGAAACGTGACTACTCGATTTTTACAGCTGAGTGTGTTGCTTTGCTCCAAGCTGTACATTATGTCCAACATAACCAACTGGCAAACAGCGTCATTTGTACCGACTCCCTCTCGCTGCTATTAGCCCTGCAAACAAATGAAAGTAACCACCCTATGGTTACCGACATTAAGGATACTTTGCATTGTCTGAAGGAACACAATCTGCGGTGTGTAATCCTTTGGGTCCCTGGACACTGTGGAATCTACGGGAATGAACAGGCAGACCTTCAAGCAAAACGGGCTGTTTTACTAGATAGGACCGAGGAGGAGTATGAAGTGTCTGTGCAGGAATATGTGTCTTTTATCCGTGCAGCATGTTTTGATCAATTTAATAGCATGTGGGTAAACGATACTCGCCAGACAAACCTTAAGAGCATAAAGCATGTTACGGGGAACTGGGTGTCTTGTCGCCGGAATGTCCGACGTGAGGAAATAGTGTTATGTCGACTGCGGCTTGGACACACCAGAATCTCGCACTCGTTTATTATAGACCGTGATGTGCGACCAGAATGTAGTACCTGCGGCCAGTACGTGACAGTGCAACACATGTTAATTGAATGTCCGAACTACGCTGACCAAAGAAGACATCTCAGTGTACTGTGCCGGCACCATGGTGCGCCGATGGAGCTGGGTACTCTACTTGGTGACTCATACCCTGATATTACTGACGCTTTGTTTAAGTTTCTACACGATAGTGAACTGTTTAAGAAAATTTAAGATTATATTGTTTATTGTATGTTTATGTTATGTGGCTGTGATATGTACAGTCTTTACCGTTTTGTTTATTTTAGTGCAAGTCTCTGTTGTTGTCTACTATGCTGTGTATGAGTGATAATGAGCTGTGATGTATGCTGTGAAAGTATGATATGGATGAGAATGAGATGAATGAATGAATGAATGAATGATGAATGACAGTGAATGGAAAACATGAGAGTGGAGTAGAAGGAGTAGAGATTTATAACAATGGTAAATAGCTGCTACTAACTCGGTGATTTGCTTCCCCCTCCCTCCCCACCCGCCACGGCACTCGCGTACACTAAACCGCTACAATATATCGGTACTGACAGTCGCACACACACATATTCAGACTATATCAGTACCGTGCACAATCAGTGTAGACCACATTGCTGTGTGCGATAGGCCGAGCTGAAACACAGCGCGCTCCTCTTACAGGATAACAGAGGAACATATGTTTACTCTATATACTCTGATACGTTTTTGGTATATACGCGGATATGTTGATCATATGTGAACGATTGGCGTGATGGCTGAGTGCAGGCCTTATGAGTATGAGCTGATGTTAAACTTGTGAAATGTATGATGTTTGTTTTTCTTTCTCTTTAATTTACTTTATTTTTATTTTTAGTTAGTGTAGTTTGACCAATCACTAACATCTAACTACGGCAATACCAACCTAAACTGATAAATCCTAACTGGACAAATCCTGGCAACGCATTTCCTTGTCCCATGGATCGCTTAGTTCCATTCCCTGGCCATGACAAGAAGGAAGAGAAGATGTGAAGACAACTTCTGGACGCTCTGAGCCCAAGAGGCTATGCGCCCTACACCAAAACAACAACAACAACATTTGGTTATTAGCTAAACACTAGCTCAAGTAGGGGTTTTATAGCCTTGAACTAGGAGTCGCTGAAAGTATGATGTATTGTAGATTTTGAATGCTTCACAGATTATGCCACTTTTCTGAAATTAGTTTTTAGTGCTACAATTTTATGACTTCTTATGTGTAAATGATAAGAAAATATAAATACTATTTACCAGTAAAATGCCTTTGGGGCGACCAACGGAGCAAGCGAGAGGGTGGGCCTTGCACGTTGTATTGACCCCTGTCTGTAGCTGTAGGTAAGAATTTTGAGTGACCCTGACCCATTTTTGAGAAATGTACCTACTCTACCTACTCTAGCACAATTCTGCTCAAATTGTTTCTGTATTTTATCTTTGCTGGGATCCAGATTCACTAGGTACCGATGTTTTAATGACATATACCTATAAATCAATTTAACGAAATTTAGGGTGCAATTTTCTCATATACTTTTAATCATAAGCAAAACATGAGCATGTATATGGCTTTATCTACCACCTAATCCTATATTTACAGTTTTGAATGTTGTCTAAATGATATGATCAAGAAAATCCACTTTGCAAAATCAGCTTAACTTGTGTCATGGAAATGTAGTCAGTAACACAGTGAGATTATTTAGGAAATAAATTTCCACTTGCATGTCCAGCAGAAGCACAATAAGGCTGCTGAGCATCGTAGGCAGTGAGGCAAGCCAGGCGGCATCGAAAAGGTCTGCAAGAGACGCATTCAAAGTCGAAGTCAATCAGTGACTATTTTCATAGATTATCTCACCCTCGCACTCTTATCAGGGTTCGGATGGGCCTGATAGACTACAAATCGGTCACACCACCCAGATGTGTGTCTGATTCACCGGGAAACATTTTATTGAAAGTTAAGCATATTGCAACACGTGACATGTAGTGCGACGTTCTCTTCTAGTGTGATCTCCTCTTTTCAGTTGGTTGAATAAAGAAACACAGGTCAAATGGCATGGAGATCTCTGGCCGCAAACTCCCTTCCACCAAGTCGCGAGATAAACGCCATAAACACTAGGTCACACAGAGGACTAGGACATTTTATGCAACTGAATTGATCTTAACCCGCGCACCGACGGGGGTCTGCGCCAACTTAGTACCGACGGGGGGGGCGGATGACCGCCCCCCCTGAGATCTCGAGAACGAAGCAAGATAGCGACAAGCGGTAAACGGCATCGGATACGCACGGTCAAGATCTACAATTTTTACTAAGGTCATTTTCAGGTCAGGTCAAAGATGACGTCACAGGGGTCGAAAAAGTCAAAATGGCGGCGCTAAATATTGAGAGAGTTTTTCTCGAATAACTTTCGAATTAGTCAAGATAGGAACAAACTAAGGGCATCATCGTGATCCTCTCGTCAATCCGCATCGAATGATATATATGTTGACCTCGAAAGGTCAAGGTCAAAGGTTGACCTCAGGTCACGTGACCTCGAGGTCATCATGTATATCATTCGATGCGTCTTGACGAGCTGAACACAATGAGACCATCCACGCGTCTGTATCTTGTTCCTGTACGGAGTTATTGGCCAAAAACCTTTGGTGACCTTTGATGACGTCACATGACCTCACAGCTGCCCAACAGCAAAACAGACCTCAAGGTAGTGAAGGTTGATCGTATATGAAGTCATGTATGGTATATGGGGCCATTCCGACCCGTTTTAGTGGTAAAAACAGGGAGTTGATTTTTCCCCCATTGACTTATAATGGGGAGGTCGCGAAATTGACCTGACCTTAGGTCACCGATATCAAAATTCCGAGATAAACAAATTGTAGCTACTAATGACCTAATAACATCCTGCGACTTTCAAAGGCCTCCGACATCTACTGTAGCTCTGGCACGGTGACAAAGTTGCAAAAAAGTGACTTGAGGTTGGGTCATTCAAAGTGACCTGGTGACCTGACCTTGAAAGGTAGGAGGTTCAAACTTGCACACCATGTGTAAAATTGATAAGGGAATAGTCATACCAAATTTCGCGGCGCTACGCGCCGCGGTTTTCCCGCTATTCGCGAAAAACCTCAGGGGGGGCGGATATCCGCCCCCCCCCCCCGTCGGTGCGCGGGTTAAACCTGTCCTGTCCCGTAGGTCAGTTGGTAGAGCGGCTTTGTCAACTCGTCCATTCAAACATTCGAGCTAATTTTATTTTTTAAAGAAACCTGACCACCTGACTGACCTGACATTTGCCTGCCCAGTGTCCAGCAGCCATCACCCAAGCCTCCAGCATGTCGGCGCCACCGGACAGGGAGCGAGAGCAGAAGCTCAAGTCACTCTTCTCTGACCTGGGACGCGCCACCATGCGCGGCGTCAGAAAGTGTCCCCAGTGCGGCACGCTCAACGGCACGCGTGGCAACGCCTGCAAAAACAAAAACTGCAACGTCAAGTTCCGCGATAAACCGCCCGAGGTCAAGTTCAAGTCGGCCTCCAAACTGCTCACAGGAAACTCACAAGAGGTACGTCACTGGGGAATTCACGGAGTTACCCGTGAAACATGGCGCGTGATGTGAAAGACGTGCTTTCATTTCACTCAGACGAAAAGCCTGGCTATCTAAAATAGTGCTCATTGTTGAATTATATTTGTCATTATCTGAACTTCTACCCTGTTTTGAAGATTATTGACGACCGTTTCTGCTGCCAGAGTGAAATGTGGTTTTTGTGCAAAAATCTTGCGATGATGTATACACTGAATCACTCCATCTGTCGTCAACATTCATGCCGGACGCCGATAAAATTCCACAACCCCCTCCCCCGTCGGCTCGTCCCTCTCCCAGCCAAATGATCACGGTCTTTCACCCATGGCTATTAGACACCTCTGAATGACGGTCTTTCACTCCTGGCAATTATACGTCGTTATCAGAGGACGTGGCCAACCCGACCCGTTACTAACCGTCTGTTTCGCTCCCCAGATGCTGTTTTCGGTGCGTGTGCGGGAGTCGGGCCCCGAGATGCGCGGCTTTGTGCAGATCGTCGACCCGGCCCAGAGTCTGGGCGGGGCCGCCGAACCGCCCCGCTGCCACGTCGCCTCCTGCCAAAAGGTCAGTGGAGCGCATATCTGTGTTGATGTGGCACTTAATTTAGCAAACTAGGGCATGTGCGACCTTGGGACGCAAGTTGCATTTGGCGGGTTGTTTTGTCTACTTAAGTTAATTTGTGTGCGCTGGGACTGATCGAGCATAAACAGTTGAGCAGAAAATAGTAAACTACATCGAAATAACCTATTGGCGTCTTCGCCACCGAGTCATTTGCAGGTGTTACATGTTCCTTGACTGGACGGCTGTCATGCAGAACTGTTTTTAAGATAAAAGCAGTGCATTTTGTGATAAGTTCCAGCCCACGAATTCAGTGTATTTTATCAGCAAATAAAGTTATCAATCCACTTCCCTTCGATTCACGCCACCTGCTGACTGCCGTTGTATGTTTTAGTGGCGGTCCCGGCCGCGAGATGGCAGTGACGTCCACTGCCGGCACATCACGGCCGCGCTGCAGACGACCAACCAGGCGTCGCCGCTGATGCTGAAGAACTCGGTGCTGAGCGGCCGGGAGGACCTGGCCGGCGTCCGGCAGGTACGGAGTGGGGATGAGAGGCTGGTGGTGAGATCTATTGCCCCGGGCACTCGTGGACGCATCTCTGCTCAAGAAATCATTGAATGTGGGCACATACAATCCAGTAATGCCAGTTACTAGGTCACTAATAGCCCCACCCGTCCATCGTTTCCATCCTCCCAATCCTTCTCCCCCAAGTCGCAACCCCCCCCCTCCGGGCTGGACAGGCAACTTTATCTCATGCGGGCTGCTCCCTTGGGGCGGCATCGCTGCTTTCAGGGGAGCACACTCGTAGCCGGGTGCAGTGAGTAGTGAGTACTAGGGGCTGATCGGCCTGTCCTCTGGGACGGGCTCAGCCCCGGTGACTCTCTAGGGTGTCTGCCCAGACCAATGTCTCCCCCTAATTCCTATCGTCCTTCTGGCTCTGAAATGGTCTTGTCAGACCGAAATGGGCTGACCCAACGAAACAAACAAACAAACAAACAAAGGAATAGCGGCCCAGTGTGCGGGTCTAAGCTCATGCAGTCGGCTCTTAATCGTAATCGTCTATCAAGAAATACCTTGGCATTTAGCACGTGCATTTAACACTTCGCGCCTTAGCCTTCGCACAGCCAGTGTTACCTACATTAAACTGAATGCTAATAATACTTTGCGTCGTCTCCCCACCACAGCTCATGTGGCCGCTGGTGTTTTACTTTTATACGCCTCCTTCCCAGAGCCTGTGTACACTGTTCCCGGTCTCAGTTAGTATTGTTGACATGCCTCCCCTCCTGTGCAGCAATTATGGGCGCTGGCGACGGAGACGAGCGGGCCGCTGGTGCAGCGCGTCTCCCGCTGCTACCTGGTGGTCAAGTGTCGGCCGAGCCGACAGTTCCCGCTGGGTTACCTGCACGCCTACTTCTCACCCACGGCCAGCAGTAAGACCGACAAGGACCAGCGCTTCTTCTGTCCCTGCTCGTCCTTCAGGGTGAGGCTACAGATTGTAAATCGTGGAAATTTTGTGACGTGACACGGCTACTCAGTGTGACGTGGTTCACATCAGTTTTAGCTAAGAGCCTTCAAGACTGACATACTCGAGGCATACCTTGCAGGCTTAGCAGACTTAATAAACTTTGCTGCTAGAATGATTTAGCATTAGTTCCAGTATTCAATAGAAGCTGCTAATTGTTAGTTATGACATGCCATGATGGCTTTGTCTAAAAAAGTCAACGTTTTTGTTGGGAGTGCAGACCGTACAATAGCTTGACGCAGCAATCATCATGCAAACATGCTGCATCTAACTTTCAGACACTTGTTCAACTGTCCACCGTCTCCCCGGCTCAGTTTACACGGGACCGCCTCACTAACCCACCTCTCTCCGTTCCCCAGCACTCGTCGACAAACAGCGAGTCGCGCCGGTGTATCCACGTGTACGCCTGCCTGTGCGCCTTCCTCAGCACACAGAGCCTGCGCCAGGAGTTTGACTACTTTGTCAAGCTGGACGAGCGCGCCCGGCTCAAACACAGTGAGTGGCGTGGTGACGAACCCGGGCTGTGCTGTTTTTGTTTCACTGCGGAACTGCTGTTTATATGACGGTGACGGGAGACGGGAGCGCTCAGCCGCAGGCAGGTTGAGTGTAGAGAGACAAATAAATATGTCGTGTGGGCTGCCCTACGCTTGGCATAACTCGATTCAGGACGACGTCTTGTTATGCTTTGCTTGATCGGCTGGTCGTTTTGCAGACTATTTAGAACATTTCGATGATTTCAGCAAGCGCTTACTTTGGCTTGAGATGTCATTTTGAAATTGACATTTATAGCACGTCTTATTTGTTTGGCGTTTTCTTCGATATTTACTAGCCCTTGCCAGTTGCTTATGTTGAACACTTGATACACTCGTCTTGATGCCCCCTATACGTTCGCCGATCTTCTGATTTTTCACAAACCCACGTGTAATGTGTAACCCCACCTCCCTAATTCCCTCCAGACTCGACGGTGCCCCTGCTAAGCGAGCTGGTCGAGGTGGCCGAGGCGACTGACACACTGCCCGTGCTGGACGTCAGCTCTGTGGGCGGCGCCGGCGGCGATGACCTGTGCGAGGTCGAGGTCGAGGTGCTCGAGGAGTCGGCCATACTGCAGGTGGGTGGGGAGGACTAAGGGCTGGGAGAGGTGTGGGAGGGTGATGGATAGGGTGAGGGGAGTCGGCCATAGGGTAGGGTGGGGTAATTTGAACATGTGGGGCAATTTGAACATGTGTGAATAACACAAAATTACGGAAAATCCATAAGTGGCATGACAATAAGACCAATGAGAGAAATTATCATAACTAAAAGGGCTATCATATGAACGGGGTTTAAAGTTTCAGGGAATGAAGATGTTGACGCACAGTGTAAAAAATCAATTTCGCAAGGATAAACGCCTAACAACACGCCATTGCAACTTCATTGCAGCGCAAAATCTTGCATTGCTAGCGCCTAATACGCAACGGCTTTTGTTGTACAATGACCTAATCAGTGCCTTCAATCCAAGAAATTTGCTTTTGAACCCTGTTTTTAAAAATTGTAAAATAACTTTTAGCGTGGGGTAATTTGAACATAGTGTGAGAATTTCAATGAAGACAGGGATAGCTCCGAAAAAACAACGCTCCCAGTTTTTTTGCCAATATTTTTGACCCAAAGCAGTAGCAGATAAGTGATGCCAGTTTTAGAAAATTTACGTCTAATATCCGTCTAATGTCTGGCATTTTCGTTGATTTTCCGTCCAAAAATGTTAAAGTCAACTATTTGTCCAAATATGTCCGAAAATTATGCAGCTATCAACACTCAAAACCGTCATTTATATTGCTTATCATGTAATTTTACCAGCCGAAAAGTGTTCATTATATTGAGAGCTTAACAAGCTTTCCATTCGCCAATCAATGCTATGCACGATTACTTGATAGAAATGCTTAAGTGTGGCAGGCCATCGTCCAACGTTGTCCAGACTTCTATACCTTTGTGCAATCAATTCTGAATTGGACATTATAAAGAATCGGAACTCCGAATGTCCAGGTTCCGATTGGCACCACTATAACAGATGAAGTAAGGTTTGGTAGAGTTTTTATCGAACGGAGATGATAGACGTTCTGTTAATTGAAGAGAGGCGAATTCTGTCAACTGACCGGTGTGCAGCGTGCAGATATTGATACTCAGCAACTCTTATTTTTGTTGTTGTGTTGATTTTTCAAATGATGGTATTTTTAGAATTGTTCTGCCTATTTGTTTATGGGTCAAACAACATCGGTGCTGGCGAGACTATCTTTTTTATGGCAGGTAGAGACAGTATGTTCAAATTACCCCACGGTGGGGCAATTTGAACACACCGTGACTTGGTGGAGAAGTGATGCTATGCTATTCAAGGTATGCTCGGCTCGTCCAAAAATGAGGCTTGCATGGTGAAAGCAAGTGACACATGCGCTACTGAAACAGTTTTTCTTCATCCAGGGTTGAGCTGGAATTTGGTACAACGGAGAAGACGTAAAAATATGTTCAAATTACCCCACACTACCCTACTGCAGGTGGGGGAGGGGGAGGAGTCGGCCATACTGCAGGTGTGTGGGGAGGGGAGTCAGCCATACTGCAGGTGGGTGGGAGGGGAGTCGGCCATACTGCAGGTGGGTGAGGAGAGGAGTCGGTCATACTGCAGGTGTGAGGGGAAGGGAGTCGGCCATACTGCAGGTGTGAGGGGAGGAGGGGAGAGTCGGCCATACTGCAGGTGGGTTGGGAGGGAGTCGGCCATACTGCAGGTGGGGGAGGGGAGGAATCGGCCAACCGGCAGGTGAGGGAGGGAAGGACGGCCATCCTGTAGGAGGGAAGGGGAGGCGGTCATCCTGTTCAGCATGTGTGCGCGCGGGATGGTGGGTAACGGAGGGAGCAGTGTAATTGGTGAGGGGTGGGAGGGAGTCGGCCATTTTGCAGGGACGATGGGAGAGGACGAGGGGTGACACATATCGGTCTTAGTTCAGGTGGGAGGTAGCGGCAGCTGGGGATGGGATGTGTCGTGCCGTGTGGTGTGGTCAGGGAATTCAGATGCTGTCATAAGAACTGCACTGCCCGATGCGGATATATTTTGCTTTGTAAGCAGCCCTGCAATGCAAGGTTTTGCTGGGCTAAATTTCGCTATAGCTCACGTTCGATTGGTGTAGGGTTCCGTCTGATATTCTGCTGACGATATGGATCGTGTGGATCGTATTGAACTATCGGCTGCCTTTCCTAATAAGGCTAGCCTGTCTGTCCTGGACAGACTCCACCCGACGAACAGACGGCTCGCAAACGTCTCGAACTGTGCTGTTCGCAGTTTCGTGACGAGCCGCTTTGAGTTGACATCACCTAAACTGAACAGTGAACATCCTCTCATCTAACCCTCCATTGACCTGACCTGCCTCTTGACCTGACCTGCCCCTTAACGTGACCTGATCTGACCCTCCCTTAACTTGACTTGACCCACCGTATCCCGCTCAGGCGGCCGGGCTGCACGCTCTCGAGTACACTGACGACCCTGACCTGACCCGATCTGACCCCTTCTTCTCCACAGGCCGCCGGGCTGCACGGCCTGGAGTACGCCGACAACCCGCTCCGTGTGGAGACCGGCGAGGACGGCGCCCTGACGCTGCAGCTGGCCGGCCGACCCTCTGAGCGTGCCCCCTCGGCGCTCCAGCTGGAGCTGCACCCGGTCCCGCCGGAGCCGCCGACCGACGAGGGCGCCCGCCGCGCCGCCGCCGCTGCTGACCGGCAGACGCGCGCCGGTGAGCTGCGCTCTGAGCCGCTGACGTCTCACAGGGGGGGGGGGATGTCTGGTAGGTGGGGTGGCAGGGGTGGCAGGGGAATAGACACGCAGTTGAGTGGCATCGGAAAAATGTGGTAGCTAGGGATGGAAGAGAAGGGTTTGCGAGGTGACGCTTTCATGTAAGGTAGCGTTAGTTGATCATCATGCTCTTCGATGTCTCATCTTGAATTATTGAACTCCGGTTGTTGATTAAGCTCATCTTTGTGTATTAAAGCGGATTGGGCTCGTTTTTATCGTACATATCGACAGTGTTCACGGCGGCGTATGTTCAGTGTTTATACCATGACCTGGCAGTATCGTTTGCCTACGTATTACATGACACATAATGTTATTTGACTGTGTGTATATATATCCCATAACTCTGTGTGTGCTGTGGCCGGCAGCGGTGCCCGAGACAGAGCTCTCATCGTCCTTCTACGACTGGCTGGGAGGTGTCACAGAGCGCATCAACCAGACGATGCACTACCAGTGTAACGGCCGGCCCGACCCGCTCGTCTTCCACGTGCCGCACGTGAGTCGGACGCGCCGCGTGACGGCGCGCAACACGTGGCCGAGGCGTGGCGAGAGGCTGCTGAGGTAGCTGGGTGCGGCCCTGCCCGCTGATAGTGCTGCAATTAGGCTCGGGTGTCCGACAGTTGGACTGCGAAACAGATGATGCAATAGACACTCCCTGGTCGGTCGAGGCGGCGTATGTAGAGAGGAAGGGTGTTCCAGAACTTTCTAATCGTCAGTCTGAATCGTCAGATTTGGGAACTACGTTTGTAAGCCACATATTCATAAAATAATGTTAAATTTTGCGCTCTCGTATTAATTTATGAACCCATTAACATCAGTTATTAGTAAAGTCTTGGGTGGAACTGGAAGCGAGAAATTCATTTATCAATTCTTGCTTTATTTCACAGAGTTATGTTTTGCACCCTGACATCCTGCTGTTGATTCAACATTGTCTATCTGAGTTTACTCGAGGGCAGCGCTTTTCGAGGAGCGCTGTGGCCCGAAGGTTTGGACTTTAATTGTGAAAAACGCCCGCCCACCGTAAACCGCAAACACCGCAAAACGCGCAAAACGCACGTCCGAAACGCCAACGTATCTGAGTTCATTGAAATTTGAATAGCACTAAATGTTTGTCTGCTTTTTGTTACGGAGCGAGCGAAGCGAGCGTAGTCTTTCCTTAGATTAACGGAAATTTTTTAGTATGAGCGGCCGGCCGGCCGTGGTCACGGTTTTGCGACGCTTATATCTCAGCAACCACTTGACCGATTTACACGCGGTAATTTTTGTAGGGTAGCTTCATTCCTTCTACCAAGTATTGGACTATTCCCGATGCATGTAGGTGACCCCTTATGCACGTGCCACGTGCAAAACGAAGAGGTGTCACTTTTGTAATTGTTGCAATATCTCGGTAACTACTTGGCCGAAACCGCTGAAAGTTGGCATGTAGGTAGGCACCCACTAGGCAATGCATATCCATGTGCCAGAGTTGGGGTGCTGCTGCACGTGCAGGGGTCGATTCCAGATCTCGAGAACGGCTGGACCGATTGCGCTCAAATTTGGTACACGGTTACGGAGCAGTTAGTAGGGTGCAGTGCACAAGTCAGTTGGGACCCATTTTGCACGTGCGCACGTGCAGGGTGCCGCTTCCAGATCTCGAGAACGGCTGGGCCGATTGTGCTCAAATTCGGCACATCGCTAGAGACCGGTTAGTAGGGTGCCGTGCACAAGTCAGTTGGAGGTACCCCCTCGCAATTTCGCACGTGCAAGGCCCACCCTCTCGCTCGCTCCGTTAGTCGCCTCGTAAGGCGCTATACTGGTCAGATGTCTTCTTGTTGTGGAAAACATTTCGGATGTGACGGCTAGAGGATGATATAGCAGGCTGCATCGTACCATCTCTTGCTCTCCGCCCGCCTGAGACAGCACCCCTTCCCTTGATTCCCGCAGACGTTTTTCAACGCTTTGAAGGAGCGTATCGCGTTCGGCGTGAAGAAGCGCCGACTGCCGAACCATGTGACGACGTTCGTGAGGACGGACGTGCCGCCGCTGGGCAGCTTCACCAAGTTCACCTGGCACATCACCAACATCCTGCACGTCAAGTCCATCTTCGACGGGCCAGAGGTACGTGCCAGCGCGAGGGAGGGGAGTGCGGAATGTAGAGGTGTGCATTGTTTCGGTGACTGGTGCACCGGCCGTGAACGGTTGGTCTATTGTGCATTGTGTAGCTCCACACTGCACACTGCACGGCGTGCATTAACTGCACAGATATTGCAGTGAAATGAAGCTATGAGGGCCGCTATTTCTGGCTGACCTCCGAGATTCCTCAGAGGATGCGGGCTTGGTGTTTGTAACGCCATATTTGTTATACATGGCGTTTCGAACACGGTTATTATATTGAAACGCAATATTATTACGTTTTTCATCAATGCGTATAAGGAGTTCGAATGACCTAGCACGTTAACGAGGACTTCAATTTGCAATGAATCGTTCGGGCTGACTCACTCCCCGAACCCGATTACGACACGCTGACAAGGCTTTGAAAATACCAAGGCCATTTATAGGAAAATACAACTAGAAAGCTGTGACCCGATGATTTTTTTTTGTGTTTGTGGAGTTAAGCCTTCGTGAAATTGCTATTTTTGCAACTGCACATAACGTCATTAAGAGATTCACGACCCAGGTAACCGGCGCCTTGTCCTAGTGATTCGTGCTGGTCACTGACGCCGCGTGGTCCCCGTGTGTTTTCAGATAACGCTGAACATCACGCGCAGTTTCCAGTACAGCTCGGACACGGGCCGGTACACGGAGCACGTACCGACGGAGGCGGAAACGACGCCTCAGCCGCTCTCCCACGGGCCCTACATCAAACCGCAGCAGTACAAAACCGTGCTCCGAGTCGGTGAGTGGAGCTGATTGGTGTACGCTGAGAGCGGCGCCGCGATACGCGCACTGTCATATTTTGTTCACCTATTGTAACGGTCGCAGCATGACAGTGGTTACATGCAATTTGCAGCCCGCGATTATTTTTTTACCGCACAATATTTATTTTACTTTAAGCCATGATATTCAAAGGCAGTCCATGATACGAGTAATGTTTCGCTTTATTGAAGACAGCTTTGAATATGCCCTGTTACGTATCGAGTCGTCGTCCCTATGTCGCTGCGTGTTGACGCGGTTCTCTCTCGGTCCGCTCAGGGTGCATATCGGCGCAGCAGCAACAGCCGACGCCGTTCATCATCGAGTGGGTGCCGGCCGTGCTGCCGCAGTCTCAGGTGGGCGAGTTGCGGCTCCAGTTTCAGTTTGTGCACCAGCGCAACGGCCAGCTGGTCGACCCGCCGCAGCTCGTCTTCTGAGAGACGTGGCACGTCTCGGAAAGAGACGGGTCGTCTTAGTACTCCAGACATGACAATGCTGAGTACGTGGTTGATGGAGAAACTATCAAAGTTGTGTCGAAGAAATTAACAATGAATGGGCATTGGCCAGTGTCTTGACAACAGCAAAATATTGCTTAGGAGCAATAATGGCGAAACGGTGCCGAATTATTTGCCGGATGGCCTTGGGCTGTATCCGGGCCGGCCCAAACGTCGCCTTATATGGTCTGGTGCTCGGCAGAGTATCGTGTTTTGTTCGCTCGTGCCTGGAGGCCACCGTTGCGGGGTGGGGGTCGCCGCCCTGCCTCCGGCGAGTAAACAGACTGGAGCACGACCCGTCGCTCGTGGGTGGACGGGTGCCGCCGCGACCGCCGGCTTTGGGCCACCTGAGCGGCGTGCCGGCCGGCCGGGGGGGGGAGGTCTCTAGTGCCTCCAGCCCTGCCTCCGGCGAGTAAACAGACCGGGGCACGACCCAGCGCTCGTGGGTGGACGGGTGCCGCCGCGACCGCCGGCTTTGGGCCACCTGAGCGGCGTGCCGGCCGGCCGGGCGGGGGAGGTCTCCAGTGGCGGGCGCCGTGCCGACTCAGCGGAGCAGCGCTGTTCCTACGCCCCAGAGCCGGGCGCGTACCGTGCCCTCCCCCGGAGTGGGGAGGGGGCGCTGTTACCCGCCGGGAGTGCTTTGGAGCGCTCCGCGGGGAAGGTCACGGCTCGGCTCTCCGGAGGAGGGCACGGTGTCGCCGTCTGGGCGGTAAGGCGAGCAGTCTGCTGACGGAGGGACGCGCCGCGACACCGACCCCCTGACCACCGGCGAGAGTTCCCACGGATATCGAGCGAAACCGAGCCGAGGTCAAGTCATGTTCGGCGACTGCCCGGTAACTGGAAATCCCAGAAGATTTATCCGATCTCGTTTGTTTTGTCAGAGTTTGCGGGAAGGCCAATGCGTAGCCGAGTTTTGTACAAAGTTTGTCTCGAAGAGAGTGACTAGTTTCGTTGTTATAGTGTGATATTTTGTTTGTTGTGCCAGTATTTCTTGCTAACCTCAATACCTATGCGTGTTTGTCGTGTTTTGAACGCCACTAATGATATGCCGCCTGACATGACAGTGACTACGAGTACACCACCGTCGGGCCTGCTGTCTGGCTACGTGCCTCCTCGTATACCTGCTGCAGTTTGTAGGAGCGCGGTATGTGACCGTGTGTAGTGGGCGTGACTTGTGAGTGCTGTGCTGTCGCCGAAAAGATACCCTCCGCCCCTCCCCCTCCCAATGAGATATCTGTGTCGTCCGACGACACCCCTGCGCTGACTGCCCCCCTCCCACCCCCACGCCCTCATGTCTCTCTTTCCTGAGATCTCTGTGTCGGGCTACTTCCCCTGCGCTATCCCCTCTCACCCATATCTCCCACTCCTGTCGACCTAACGGTCTGGGCTGTGATAGGTTATGGCAGCACTAAACGGCTGGTAACTCAGTGCGAAGTGTTTGAGTTTGAGAATTGTTTGATGAATACACGCCAATGATTGATATTTGAATTTGTCGGTATAGCTGTGGAAGGGTTGAACGGTGATGATGCGAGACGGTCAGGGATGCGGAGCCGTGGAAATTTCAGACGGCTCCGGCTCCGGCTCCGGCTGCGGAGAAAAAAATCGGCTCCGGCTCCGGCTCCCCCAGTAAACATGCCGACGTCGGCCCGACGTCGGGCCGAGGCTCGGCCCGACGTCGGCCCAGCGTCGGTTCAACCTCGGCCCGACATCGGCTGGACGTCGGATATGCCCGCATGTTCCGACGTCCAGCCGAAGTCCAGCCGACGTCGAGCCGACGTCGGGCCGAGATCGTTTGCCGAGGTTGACGAGATCGTTTGTCGTTGGACCGACGGGGCCGACGTCGGCATGTTTATTGGGACAACGCGCCAAAAATATCAACCGGCGGCGGGATTCGAGCCCCCCGGTCGCCGACGTCGGCATGTTTACTGGGACAACACGCCAAAAGCATCAGCCGGCGATGGGATTCGAACCCCGTGTCATTCGAATGCGAGGTTAGTGCGCTTACCACTACACCACGCAGCCAGCTAACGAGTTTGGTTTGTTTTGTTGGGTTATGCCCTTTCGGTCTGACAAGACCATTTCAGAGCTGGAAGGATCATAGGATGGAGACATTGGTCTTCTTGGCGAGCACCCTGGGTCCAGTTCATATAGAGTTCCTGGTCCCATTGCTGTTACGTGACACTTATTGGAAAGGGCGACCCCACAATGGATTCATATAGCCACTCTTACACACCTGCACCAACGTTTCCCAAAGTGTCCCTTTGATAAGTGGCACTTTGGCAAAGTGACACTTGCCGACTGGCCTTTCTATATGAACTGGGCCCGGCCCTGGTGAGTTGCCGGGGCTGAGCCTGACCAAGGGATAGGCCGAGCAGCCCCCAAGCACTCACCGCACCCGGCTACGGGCGAGCTCGGCTTACGGGCAATCCCAAATGGGATAAAGTTTCCCGTCCAGTCCGGATCAGGGGGTTGCGGCGTGGAGGAAGATTTGAGTTTCCTGAGGATATTTTGAATACAGAAGCTCTTTATGAAACATGAAACATGTATTTTATATTATTTTAACGGTCAAAACAGCGGCCGATGTCGGTCCGACGTCGCCCCGACGTCGGCCCGACGTCGGCTGGACCTCAGCAATTGATCTCGGTCCGACGTCGGCTGGACCTCGGCTGGACGTCGGAACATGCGGGCATATCCGACATCCAGCCGACGTCGTGCCGAGGTTGGACCGACGTCGGGCCGACGTCGGCATGCTGATGCCGAGTTGCCGACGTCACCCCGACGTCGGCCGACGTCGGGCCGACGTCGGCATGTTTACTGGGCCGGCTCCGGTTGAAATGCCATGGCGGCTCCGGCTCCGGCTCCGAGTAAAATGATCCGGCTCCGGCGGCTCCGGCTCCGGCTTCTACTCAGTACATCCCCTATGCGATCAATTAAATACGGGTGGAAGAAAAAAGGCGATGGGATTGGTACACGTTGCTTCTGTATTTGTATAACAAGGCTATTTTGAATACCACATTGTTTTACGTCTTGTACTGTCAAACCGAACTAGGTAAATAATTGTTTCCGCCCCCATTTTTGGCGGCTCCGGCTCCAGCTCCGGCTCCGGGCTATATTGTTTCACGGCTCCGGCTCCGGCTCCGGGCAAAATATGCCGGCTCCGGCGGCTCCGGCTCCGGCTCCGGCTCCGGCTCCGCATCCCTGGAGACGGTGATCCAAATCGTGACCAAAGGTCAATATCTCAAACACCATTCGTTAGAATTGTGTTTTTATTGGGAAAACAAATCTGAGTTCTCTGACAATTTTATAAAAGCTGCATGATAATTGCAGAGTTGAGTGCAGGTTGGCTTTGCACTCGGACGGGCACGTTCGTTGCCCAGTCTGACGAGATATGCTTATCACAATACGTTAGCTCACAGAAGTCCTTGATTTTTTCAATCGAATTAGGCGTTTGACGATAAAATCACCGAGCTCTTGGTTTTGCCGCAATCCTTATTCCTCACCATCAGAATTGTGACTAATCTACAGTCTACACTCTACACCTGACCAGAACTTACTATGATCCGTTCGTACTACAGTATGAGTATTGTGAGCGCAGCTGATTCCATAAGATTTTCGGGACCATGATCCACAGAAAGAAAACTCTTGTGTCGTACCAGCTTACAAGGTCTATGCCCGAAAATGGTGGTCGCCGGGGTATTATACCGACGATAATGAAATGACGGGTAGAAAAACACGGAACAAATTGTGCATGTGCAATGAAGTGACAGCTTGGTGTAGTTTTCTTGGGGCGGCCTGTAGTCTCCTGAATGTGATTCCCAATCCCTTCCTCATTTCATTCTTTTCCCACTTTTTTCTTGAAGGTTAATAGAACTACTAAAGGCGAAAAAACTGACCTGGCTTTATCCTGAACATCATACAAAATTTAGTTTTATCTTTCAAATGTACTTCATTGGCGGCCGGCACATCTATTATTTCCCGGATGTTGCATTTGAAGCCCGCCTCCAGGTCAAGTCGGTGTCCTATCACACCAGCCCCCCCCCCCCTGTGGTGTCATTCCCCCTCCCCCGCTCTGAACGGGCCAGGTGGCGGTCGGCCGGCCGGCTCCGGTGGCGGGGCGTCAGATTTCCGCCCGTCGTCGGCCGGGCGCGACGGCGCTCGGTCAGCCCGAGCCAGCGGTGTCGCGTGGCGCGTCGTCAGCAGTCAGCACCTCGCGCGGCTGCCGGTGTCGTCATGCCGGCTGACCCGCCGCGGTCATCGGCTCGCCCGGGGAAGTGGCGGTGCTGTGATGGGCTGTTCTTCCGACAACAGGTGGTGCGATATTGTGAGGTAAGCTCGGGGCGCCGAGAGGGACGATCACCGCAAATAGACCGCGAAAACAAAACCGTTTATTGCCAAGCACACAGCGAACATAACAAGAGAATGCTGTCAGGAATATTGAATAATACTTAATTCAAAAAATTGATTAACATATTGAATATAAACGCTCAAAATCGGTAACAAAATCACTGAAAAGGGTGAATGTCGCGTTTCCGCCCGCCCGCCCACAACCCAACTGAGATCGGGTCCACTTGCGAGATAAACATTCCACTCGCCACATTATCGTCTTTATCGGTCGCTGAGCGGTCAGCACCGGTAATCGTGCAGCTGGTCGTCGCCGGCGGCGCTCAGCATCTGCTCCAGCTCCCGCTGCACGCTCTGTATCTCGCTCTCCACTCCGTCGGCCGCCGGCGGGGCGCGGGCCGTCGCCGCGGCCGGCGGCTGCCGCTCCAGTCGCTCACACTCGGCCAGGATTTTCTCGGCGGCCTGGCGGCGCGCCGCGGTGGCCGCCTCTCCGAGCCGCTCCTGTGTGGCGACGGCGGCGCGCTGCTGCGCCAGCAACGTCTCCTGGGCGGCGGCCGAGCGCCGGCTCAGCTGGTACAGCTGCTCGTCGCGCTCCTCCAGCCGCCTCACCTGACGGCGGATGGCGGCCACGGCGCGCAGTAGCTCGGCCGGCCCCGCCTGCTGCTGCTGCTCGGAGCGCACGCTGCTCGTCTCCCAGTCGACCAGCATGCCGCTCAGCTCGGCCCGGATCATGTCCGTCGTCTGCGACATCAGCACCGACGGCTGCGGCCGCTGGTCGGTGGCCGGCGGCGGCGGCGGCGGGGGCAGCGGCTGTCGGAACTCCACCGCCGGCTGGCGGGCCGGCGCCGGCGCCGCTCCCGTGGCGGGCCGCGCGGCCGCGGACGGGGTGGGCGGCACGGTACTCGACGCGCGGATCGGGGACGGCAGTGGTGAGTCGCTCAGGTGCTGGCTGGCGTCCAGCGGCGCCGGGCTGACCGGCCGGCTGGCCTCCGCCTCCAGCGCCAGGTGGTCGTCCAGACGGAACTCCTGCGTGGCTGTGAGCGCGGCCGGGTCCGGCGCCGGCGGCCGGACGCGCTGCGGCGACACAGGCTGCCACTGCATGGCGTCGCCCAGCTGGGCGGCCGTGGGCGCGGCCGGCGCCACCGCCTTGCCGGCCGAGAGCGGCGTGTTGGGCGGGCAGGCGAGCGCCGGCGCCGACTCTGTGGCCGAGATCGAGAGGTGCGACACGTGTCCGGAGCCGCTGGCGTCCAGCGCGGCCGGCGGCGGCGGCGCCGATAGCTCCAGCTCGGCACACAGCTCGTGGTTGCCGGACAGCTCCAGCTCGGGCTGCTGCAGCGGCTCGTCGCTCGGGGAGACGGCGGGCGCCGGTTCCGCCGTCCGCTGCCGTCCCGAGTGGCGCCGCGCGCCGCGGCTCTGCGCGGCCGGCGCCGGCGGCGACACCTCCAGCGGTCGCTCGCCGCTCTCTGAGCCCGTGGAGCCCCAGCCGAAACGGGAGGCCAGGCTACGGCTGGGCCGTCGTTTGGCCGGCGGTACCTCGGTGTCCGAGAGGTCGCGCTCGTCGAACGGTGCTGGCTCGTCTCGGAGCACCTCAGGCGACTGAAGTCGACTCTCCTCGTGCGACACGCGGTCCGCCCAGCCGCCGACCGGCTGCGAACGGCTCACCCCACGCTTCGCCGAGGTCGCCCCCCGACCGGACTGTGCGCCGCGCCCGCGAGCTGAGGCGGCGCCGCGCTTGGAGGCGCCGCCCCGCCTGCTGGCGGATCCGCGCCGCTGGCCGCGGCCGCCTCTACCGCGGCCGCCGCGCCGAGACAGCTCCGCCTGCCAGCTCTCCTCCTGTGACAGCAGCGACTTGTTGCGGACGCTGCGCGGGTCGTAGACGGGGAAGCGCTTGAACGTGCCCACATGTCGCTGCGGCGCCGGCGGCGACGGCGGCAGGCGCTCGCCGTCGGTGCTCGTGCCCACGTCAGAGAAGATGTGCGGTGATCGCGGGTAGCGCGACTTCTTGCTCGGCTTGTGCCACGGAGCACTGAACTCCGAGTCGGCAGAGTCGCTCTGACTGAATATCGAGTGCGGCACATACTCTTCGGCAGAACTATCTTTGGCCAGCGTGAGACGGCGGCTTTTCTTGGCCTCATCCCGCGCGGTATCGGCAGTGTCTTGCTCCTCAAAGGTCACACACGCGCGGCGCTTGTCGCGTTTTCCTGCCGGCGCCTTGGAGCGCGCCTGTTTCTCGGCCCCCCGGACTGCCGCCTGCTTCTCTTTTTTCTCGGCTGCCGCCTTCGCCGTCTGTTTGACCGCTCTGGTCCCTCGGTCCGTGGACGTTTTGTCACGTGGACGGGCGGCCGGCCGGTCCCGCCTCCGTGAGACATCATCCGCGTCTGGCACATTGTTATTGTCGTCTCTCCTGGCGGGCGACTGCCGCTGGGGCGGCGGCGGACTGGGAGAGATGCCCCGGTCGTCGCTGCCACCGTCAGACTCGGATATCTCAATGTATGGTGCGCGGGCGGCGGCACGTGGTCGGCGAGTGGCCCACTGTCGGCTCTCCACACTGGCGAACGACTGGTCAGTCGGCTTAGGGGCGCGCTCGGCAGCGGGCGGCGGCGAGGCTGGCGCAGGGGCGGCCAGCGGCGATCTCTCAGCTATAGTGCTCGCGGGTGGAGACGCCTCAAAATCGAGGGACGGCGCCTGTTCTGGCGACTGATCTGGTTTCGATTTCTGAGCTTGCTCAGCCTGATGCTTGTCAGCTACGTCATCATGTTCCTGCATTTCCTCTTCACGTTCACTGTCATGCTCTTCCACTTGCAGCTCATACTCATCCTCCGCCTCCCGCTCATTGTCCGACATCACTTCCTGGATGTTCGGCCCGGCCTCTTGGTCAGACTCCTGTTCGGCCTGTTCTCCCGCCCCGTCTCCATGCTCGTCAGGTCCGTGACCTCTGCGCTGCTGCGTCTGGTGCTCGGCTGAGTCCTCGGCGTCATGGGAACGACCCTGCTGCTGGCGCCTCTGGGACGGCTCGCCGGCGCTCTTTGCCTCCCTGCCACTGGCCGAGGCCGACTCCGGCGCCGCCGGAGAGTCGGCCGGTCGGCGTCGGCCCTGCGGGGTGCGCACGCACGCCTGCGCCGTCGACGAGACGCCCGGCGTGCTGGGAGCGGAGGAGGCGGGCGCCGGGCGCGGCGTTGGCTCGATGACGCTGGTCCCGGAGCTCTGGCTGATCGGCACGGCCTCAGCGGCAGGCGCCGCGGGAGCCTCAGCGGGAGGCATCGGTGGAGCCTCAGTGAGCGGCGCCGGCGCCGGCTCGGCAGCCGGCGAGGCGCGCTCTCTGTACAGTTCACGGCCCGGCGAGCGCATCTCGAGCGGACTGTAGCGGCCGGTGGCGCGCTGTCCGGCCAGCACTGGCACGGAGCTCTTGGGCGCGTCGGCGGGCCGGCGGGCCTGCGGGCGTGCGCCGCCGCCGGAGCTGACTGCCGACAGCGGTACCGAGGCCTTGTGGCGCGGCGCGGCGCGGCCGCAGCCGGCCGAGGAGCTGGCCGTGGTGACCGACTGCGCCGGCGCGTCCACGGTCGAGCGGCAGTGCACGCCGCGGATGGTGGCCGAAGCCTTCTGGACGCGCTCAGACGCCAGCTCCTCGCACGCCTGGAACTTGTAGACGGCCGGTCCGTAGAGCCGGCCCAGCACCGAGTGCAGGTCGTGGCCCTTGAGGAAGGCGAGGGAGACGTCGCTGCCGTCGAACGTCTCCAGCGCGCCGGAGGAGAGCAGCTGGCGACAGGGCCGGTCCAGTGTCAGCTGCACTACCTGCCGGTGCCGCTGCAGACGGAGCCGCGCGCGCGTCACGTCGTCGCGTCGGATCGTCACCGTCTCCCAGAGGGTCTCGTCCGGCTGCGTCTCGGTCACCGGCCGCTGGCAATAGAGGCTGACGGAGCCGCTGCCCTCGTTAAAGTCCACCCACATGTCGTGGTAGTCGGGGTCGTCGGGCTTCTCCAGCACGAAGCCGGCCAGCGTGACCGACTCGGCCGGGAACGAGAACACCTTGCGCTCGGCGCCCAGTCGCCGGTTGAAGGCGTTCAGCAGCAGCCGACAGTCCGGGTCGAAGTTGGAGATGGCCACGAAGGCGTTGCGTAGCTCGTCGCTGGGCAGCCAGGCGGCGGCCAGCAGCGGCCGCTCGGGCTGTGTGCTCAGCCGGAACAGACACTCGACCAGGTTGGCCTGCATGTCGTAGTCGCCGCAGGTGGTGAGCAGGCGCAGCAGCGCCGGCAGCTGCTCGTCCAGCTGGGTGCGCACGGCCGAGCGCTGGGCGCGCTGCAGCGGCTCCAGCAGCTGGTTGGTGACGGCCATCAGCTGACGGGTCACCTCGAGCGGCGTGCCGTCGGCGCCGGCCACCGCCAGGAACTGGCACAGGAAGTCGGCCAGCGCCGCCCGGCCGCGCTGCAGCATCAGGCGCAGCACGTCCGTGGCGGCGCCCAGCAGGTTCTTCACGTCCTCGGCGTCCAGACCCTCCTGTATGTAGTCAATGACGCAGCCCATCAACTCCGACAGCCGATACTGGATGACTGCGCCAGTCTTCTCGTTCACTGCCAGCTCTTGCACCAGCCGCACCATGCAGAAGGCCATGTAGGGCCGCGAGTCGCCGACAAATGGCAGAAGCTCGCAAACCATGCGCATAAAGGCGTCGGGATCGATAGTTTTAAAATCCTTCTTTTCGAGTAAAGTTGCGAAGTCACGCAACTGGTTTTTTAACTTCGGCGTCTGACATTTTATTTTCGCCCATTTCGTGATCTGCTTCCAGCAATCTTGGGCGGGCAGATCGAGACAGAAGACAAATTGGTCGCCTGGCTCCATTGCCGATCAGTGGTGTCCTTGGACAGCCTGCCAGAATAAAAATAGGAATCAGGGATAAGAAACTGGAAAAATAAACGATAGAACTTCGCAGCATATCATTCTGTTCTTTTCAAACTTAGGTATGGCATCAGTTTCGAACTGTTAACGAGCCTTGCGGCTGTTACTAAGCAATCAAATGAAGTGTTTGTTAAAAAAATCACATTTTGTAAGACCGGTTTCTTGTCGCACCTGGGGGGGGGGGAGGAGGGGGAGCGGAGGTTGCCACCTCAAGGTAGAGAGAGGTTGGAATCTCGTATAGCTCCTTTTTCAACTTTCAATGCTAATTTCTTTTATCGTCCAGTCGGAGCTTTATCGTCCGGTCGGAAAATCGTCCAGTGCAGAAGGTTGACAAGTTAGACTCGGCGACATCAAAACCTGCCCTTAGTAAAAATGTTGGATCTGGCAGTTGGCACTTGGCAGTGTTGGGGCAAACGCTCCACACGGACCTGATGTATACGCTCCATTAGTATGAAAAAAGGAGTGGTGACTTCATCAGCCAACAAGTAACAACTGCCCCGAGCCGGTATATCCTTCTTTTGTTCTTATTGCACGCGATTGAAGGGGCGATTTCGGAACGGTTCGTTTTTCGACCATAACATTGGTCAATGGTGATTATCATAAGCTAAGCAGTTTCTTTAATGAGCTCACTCGTAGACCTCGGTATACAGATGTCTACGGCGGCTCACTGCATCAATACCATCCCCAATTGCAATGCATACCATGATGAGAGACAGAGTGGAAGAGTTTGACATAGTTTCCCCTTGTGGTACCACAGACAATTGTTTTTCCTTGACATGACGTTTTGTGTGTGTTTTTTTTTTTGTATAGTCATTGTCTGAGATGCAAGAAAAAGAGTGACAATTGACAAAGTCAATGCTGCATTGCCAATGCAAAAAAAAAAAACGCCTTCAATCTTGGTGGCTGGTGCATTTAAAAGTTAGCACATTTAGGAATCATGGAGATTGGAGCATATGCCTACTGCCTTCATGGATCCCGAACTCGAAGTGGGGGAAAGCGATCCATTTTATAATACCTTAAATTTCTTTGCTTTTTTAATGTATGCCAACAATTTAGCAATTAATCAGCTAAGAATCTAGGAGTCAAAAATATTTGAACGCGAGTGGAACTGGGCACTGAATCGGTCGGTAAGTATCTTGGATTGGATTGTTGCCCCACTTTGTAGCTAATAAGTACAAAAGCATGAATAACTGCGCAAATTTATCTATTTAAATTTACTAAACCCCGGATAAATCGACTAAGCTCAAGCTTAAGCTAAAATTGAAATGAGCAGGCAGAACCGTACTAAGAACAAGACTGAGACTGAGACGTCAATTTAAAACACGACCCATTTGCTTTTTATTGCTTTGGAAATACCAGCGTCAGTTCGATATTTGGCATTTAGGTAATTTAGGCTTCAATTCAATTTCAATTTCAATTTAGGCTCCAATTCAAATTGAAATTGCAGTGTTTATTAATTTTTGCGTGGAGGGACAAAACACGGATCAACTTCAGATTGAGATATTGATATTCACGAAAAAAGATAAGGCTGAATAAGGTTCTAATAAAATTTATGAAGGGAACAGCATAATCAATGTTACTAGGCAAATTTGATAAATAATGCCTACCTTCACGATTAAACAATAAACATATTGATCCCCGCCGGCGGCCCACAAAACACAAACAATTCAAATGGCGCGCTTATTTGCGCTACATTTGTATTTTGTAGACTAATTGCTACCAAACTTATATTGCTGCCATATCAGAGGATTACTTTCCATTTTCTGGAACGCATCGCCATAGAAAAATCAATGTGACCAGTGATGACTTGAGTGATGACCAAACCAACCATTCGGCACGGCATTTGTATGAATATGAAATCGTGTAGATGATTTAAACACACCAAGAACCAAGACTATATATGGCCTTGGAACCAAGAAACGTCTTGTGTCGGAAGAGGCTTGTGTGTGCGCAGTGAATTTCGCAACCAGTTTTCACAACACGCAATGGCTAGGTGCGTAGGAATCTTGGTGCGGACGACGGAGAATGTCAAAATGCGTATTTCGAAAGATATCTTTGTCTCAATGACGAAATGAGACATGAGTGGATACTAGAGCACTTCATGGGCCGGATAAATCCGTTATCCACGGATAAATCCGCGGACCGGATAGGATTGGATTCTAAATTTGTTAAAAAAGAACGGATATGGGCGGGCCGGTTTGGGAATTGAAGGTTGAACCCGGATCAAAACGGATCAAAATTTTAACATTCAACATTGAAGTTAAAAATTAACCTAATGTGTTAAGCGGCAGCAGAGGTTTGATTAAAGTAATAGGCATCATTTTATGACACTCACTTGTCACAAGACTTGTCTTCAAGTGGATAATGTATGCAATGTATGCATGGTTTTTGGAACCATGATGGTCTATGAGATGTATGGCTGTCTGGTCCCTTAGATTGAATTTGTTAGTCCAGGTTTGGGTGAAACCAGTTATTGGTGAAACGGATTATTACGGATATTTTTTGGAAGTTTGGCTGCAATACGGGCCATGGGTGGGCCGGATTCTGATATTCAAAGAAAGGCGGATAATGGGCGGATCTGGATATGACTTGCCGGATATGGGCCGGGCCGGATCCTAAAAAGCCTATCCGTGAAGTGCTCTAGTGGATACTGACACCGTCATAAATTCTGCAAGTTTAACGACAAATTTCGGTCTTTGACAACCGCCAGTCACTTCCAATGAAAATTCAAGCACAACCCAATCAAGTGTCCGCCATATTATGCGTTTGATTGGCACTCGACTGCCCAACCGGACTAAGAATCTTCTTCACCGTGTACTACCGGACAACTAAGACCGGGCCGGTGTTGCCAACAGCCGGTGTTCGACGTGGGAGTGTTTTTATATACCTCGGACGTGCGGTTAGTGCCACTACCGGACCGCGGTGCTGGCTCCCGTTTCAGATGACGGACGTGCCGAACGTGACCTGCTCCTTCACAACCAAACGACAAGGTGATTCCGACGTCATGGTATTGAGAAGAAAACACACACAGTAAAGCTGAGGCACAAACACTAAACACAGGACACTCCAACACAATGTTACACACAGTACAAAAGAGACAATTTATTACCATGACTGGGCTCTGCCCGAAGACGTCTCTGTCCAGCGGAGTCTACCGTTCACTTCAGATCGCACCAGGTCAACTGTCATCAATCGCTAAAACGCCAGCGATCCTCATCCCACAGATTTCCCTCAGGGTTACACCCGATTGTATTGTTCCTTTCGTTCAAGATCATACCGCCCGCGGCACTTTCCGATCATGTCACGCCAAATGTTACCGCTCGCGGTGCGCAGGGATCACAGCAGGTCATCTGAACGCTGCCCGCAACAAGAAGAGACCATAGCAAAACTCGCCGTCGCCGCCCGCGGCTGCTCGGGCTACAACTCGAACCGTGCCAACAGTTCCAGCATCGCACCAAACCACCACGGACGGAGAGGACCGACAGGAGACCAGCTCATCAGGCGCGCCGACGGACACCAGACAGGAGACCGGCAGACCAGGCGCGCTGTTCGGACCCAGAGAGGACAGACCGGCAGACCAGGCGCGCTGATCGGACCCAGAGAGGAGACCGACAGACCAGGCGCGCTGCAGGAGACCGGCTCATCAGGCGCGCTGACGGACACCAGACAGGAGACCGGCAGACCAGGCGCGCTGACGGACACCAGACAGGAGACCGACAGACCAGGCGCGCTGATGGACACCAGACAGGAGACCGGCAGACCAGGCGCGCTGACGGACACCAGACAGGAGACCGGCTCATCAGGTGCGCTGTTCGGACCCAGAGAGGACTGACTGGCAGACCAGGCGCGCTGACGGACACCAGACAGGAGACCGGCTCATCAGGCGCACTGACGGACACCAGACAGGAGACCGGCCGACCAGGCGCGCTGTTCGGACCCAGAGAGGACAGACCGGCAGACCAGGCGCGCTGATGGACACCAGACAGGAGACCGGCAGACCAGGCGCGCTGCAGGAGACCGGCTCATCAGGTGCGCTGATGGACTCCAGACAGGAGACCGGCAGACCAGGCGCGCTGATGGACCGGCCGATCAGGCGCGCACGTGCTCGGCGCACCGGAGGAGCTGGGTGCGCAGCTGACGCCAGGCACTGAACGTGGCGCCCTCGATCACCCTCAGCGGCACCAGGCGCAGCTTCAGGTCGTAGTTGAAGGTGCCCTCGACGATACAGCGGTCCGGGGAGTCGGCGCACGGCCGCACCGTGAACACGGTCGGAAACAGCTGCGCCCTGGAGGGGAGAGAGGGGGGCGGGTCAGGTCAGGGTCATGGTAGGGAGGGGGGCAGGTCAGGTCAGGGTCGTGGCGGAGAAGTTACGAACGGGCCAGCAGGTCAGGCATGGTGCTCAAAAGAGCTCAGACAGGTAAGGTGCGAATCAAATTGGAGGAGAGGCTCTCGAGCGGCGTGCCATTGGCATCATGCCATTAGCGCCATTGCCCCTCACCGTCTCTGCGACGAGATGGCGGACGAGGGCCTCTGGGAGAGAGGGAGAACGACGGAGGCGGGGCGGGGGGCGGGGCCAAGGGAGGGTCGGGTGATCGGACGGAGGCCGGGGAAGGACAGCGACTGGGGAGGGGAGGGGTCAGGGGAGGGGCCGGGTCGGGAGGACCAATGGGAGCCCGGTGACGCCATCGGGCGGCGGCGCGGCGGCGGCAGAGTCCTCCGCTGTTGCCGGGGGCCGGTGCCGACGCGACACCACCCGACACCGGGCCGGCTGACATCAGGTGACCGGGGAGGGGAAGGGGAGCGCTGGTCAGCAGAGCCGACCGTGGGAGCCGGTCGCGGGCCAGTCAGCAGGCGGACGGTGTCGCCTGTCACCACAGTCAGCAGACCGGCGCCGGGGCGGCTCGGGCCGGTTACCAGGCGGGTCGGTCGTGGAATGTTCCAGACGGAAACAGATGGCTGAAGGCCGCGGAACCGGGAATGACCATAGAACGAATGATGGGTTGAACAAATTAGTCTGCAATAAATATTTACCTAATGTTCTGGCAACCTTTGAGCGTGTTTCATTCAACGCACATTCCATGGCATCCGCAGAACTTTGGGACATAATGCGACAGTAAAATCAATTATCTTTCCGGCATCGTATACCGCGGTCAGCAATCTCTCCTTGATCAAACGTGATCAGTGGCGATCGGTGATGGTTTCCGTTGGGCAAGGTGCTGTGATGAGGAGAGAACCTGCAGCTCACCTGACATATCTGTCGCTTTCGGGGAAGGCGCTGTGGTCGATGGACGCCATGGCACTGTAGTGCATCTGGCCGCGGCGGCCGCGCCGGCGAACGTTGACAAACTCGCGCTGCGAGACCAGGCCGCCGAGCAGTTCCTTGGTCTCCTGACGCAGGATCTCTACTCCGTCCGACACCTGCAGCAGGGCGGGTCATGGGTCGGGTCAGAGCGGGTCACGGGTCGGGTCAGAGCGGGGTTACGGACCAGGTCAGAGCGGGGTCACGGGTCAGGTCAGAGCGGGTCACGGGTCGGGTCAGACAGAGGTAATACGTCGGAGCGGATAGAGATCACGGTTTGGGGTAGACCATAGGGTCACGGACCGGGCTAGGCCGGTGGGGTCGGGTGACACGATCTGGCGTTCCCCGTTTTAGACCCGAGACGCGTGGTAATTGGTTTTCGGATCGAGATCACAACAAAGCTTTGGCAGCGTCTGGCAGTGAACGGGGTCGGGGTCACAACAAGATAGTGAGGTCGCACGTGGCCCTGGAATGGAATATGACAGGTGGCGGTTTGTTTACAGGTCACCGGTCGGCCACGAGGGCCAACTGCGTCAAACATCAACGCTTCATCAGCGTCAGCGTGTCAGCGTGTCAGCGGTCAATTCAGGTGCAGGTTTGGGTCAGTAAGCTCTCGAGAATGCCAGCTGACATGAAAAGTAAGCAAACTAACAGCATAAAATGCCTTTTAGCCCACCGAGAGCTGAAAATGTTAGGATCGATTTCAGGTCCTGGAACGTAGCCGGCAAAAGAGTATTCTGACGTTGCATATGTATAAGTAGTTCGGCGAACTTTCAGCGATCATTTTCCAATAGGGCTGCACTTTCCAAGTTTCTTTGGATAGATCAGAACTCATCACATCAACATAGGATTTATATGTTAGTTGTTACAGTGTGTCCGCGAAATCCGTGAGTTAGCAGAGACATTAGTTGCTCCGCGGACTTCCTAGTGACTCGTGAGAGTTGAGACCTCACGTGAAGCCTCGGCCCTCGTCAATCCGCGGAATCACGGCTGTGGTTCCGCTGATTTACTTGAGTGAAACGGTGCGTCGGCGGATGTACTGAACGGGAACAGTCTCGGAGATTCGGAAACTTCTTAATTAATCCGCGGTCCAGCTATTTTTTTTCTTTCAGTGCATCCGCGGAGTACCGATTCTTTTTCAGTAAAGGTGCGGAAAATACTTCCGAGTGCTTATAGTGATATAATGGCTCATTGACAGAGCCGTCGTCTCACCACGTGGTAGGCAATTAGGCATTTTCATGTCGACAAAACCGAGGATAGCTCGGGCCTCGGTGACTAAGTTGATCGGAAACCATAACATTGAAACACTCGACGGTCGACGCTTGACGCTCCACCATTTCGATTGGGTCTCTCGTTTTGCAAATTATCCTCCAGCGTGGCAACAAATAACAGAAGTCTGTCTTTTAGCCGAAGACAAACTTTGATTGCCGCCAAGCTGGAAAGCACCAGGCAACGATGAGCCCAACCTTAGTAGTTGAGTCTCTCACGTCTTGGTGTTGCGACTTTCTTTCGACTGCTATAGATAACATAGTCTCCGAGCATTCTCGATTCTGTCGAAACGAGAATGCTCATCACGCGGTGAGACAAGGGCTGTATCTTTGAGCAGTACATATAGCACCAAAAGCACTTTGAAGCAGGGCTGCCGAGTCGGAGTCGGAGTCGGAGTCGGAGTCGGAGTCGGTCGGAGTCGGCAGTTTTGCCCGGAATCGGAGTCGGAGTTGGAGTCGCTAAAATCTGACCGACTCCGACTCCGGAGCCGGAGTAAACACTGCATTGCTCAAAGTCATGCCCTACGCCTGGTTGCTTGGCGATGTTTCGCTCGTTGACCTTTTAAAATAAGATTTTGTTGAAGCTGAGGACATACCTACCCCTGTTTTGAACGAGCGTTTTCAATGAAAAAGCTGAAAACGGATGCTGTGTTTAAACCTGTTTTTAATGTTCTTTTTTTAAGCACTTATTTACAATGCAAGGCATTGGAATTTGGAACGCGCAATTGGTCGCTTCATGCACTATAAAAAGATCGAGATGAAATTTGATTTCAATATATCGACTTCATGACCAATGTCCGGAGTCGGAGCTGGAGTCGGAGTCGGACTCGGAGTCGATTTTTTTAAGCTGGAGTCGGAGTCAGAGTCGGAGTTCCCTAAAAAATAAAAATCCATCGACTCCGCGCCTTGCATTGAAGAGTGTTTTTCTCAACCATCGGTATTCCGCGGATTTACCGAAAAAGAATCACTAGACCGCGGATTTACTAAGAAGTTCGCAGATTCCCGACACTTTAGTATAACCGCGGACGCACTAAAATAGGTGAGCAAGAAATTGACTACCTATTGGTTAGCGCAACTTCTTATTGGGAACAATCTGTTGGACCGAATACTAGAAAGAAAGTTACAATTGGGTTTGATCGCATGTTAACATCGCCTTTCACGCTTTCTAGATTAGATATCAAACCACTCTGTTGATTTGCTGTACTTTTTGCGCAACGATGAAGTGTATCGCTCGTACTGCTCAACGGTCTAGCACCCTGTTGCAATGGACTCAAAGTGCCTTATAAACATTGAGACTGCTCAACGGACTAGCAGCGACTGTTGCAATGAAATTAAAGTGCGGTATAAACATTAAAATGTCATCACGTATTTGTGAACATGTAACAAGGGGTCATCTCATAAGCGGATGAGGCTACTTCCTCCAATATTTGTTTTAAAACTGATTGTTGTTGGCCAATTAAAACTGTTATAAGTTTGGTGTGTTTACAAACACGTTACATTTTTTCGTAATGATCAAAATATACAATCCCTTTTAACCAAAAAATAGTTAGATGCATTTAGACCCATAGCGAGATACGCTTTGCCTCTTACCTCATGAATTTGGCATTTTTTGATGGTCTTGTTCCAGGAGGGGCAGTTGGTGCAGTTGTGAATCACCTCCTGGGCGAACTTTTCCGGCGAACAGCTCACCACCGTCTGAGGACATAGAGCGAAAATGGAGCGTCTTACGATCCGATCGACTGGTCATTCTGCTGCAGCGAGTACCGTCCGAGGCGCAGCTCCATAACTGGTCAGAACGCCAGCCTAGCGTCCGACTCAGATATCAGGGATTCGCACATCAGCCCAACACTCCGAGAGGCAAGCGCTGAGCAGCGAGATTAATCATCGCAACGAACACGGAGGCACCACCGTGTTAACAACTAGTGAGAGGTGCTGTGTCAGGCTGGCAGCGAAGGCCCTGCCCGGCTCAGGTTCGCCCGACCAGTGCTGCACTACGGCCCGCCCCGTGCATTGTTACACCCACGGGTGCGCCAACGGCTGATGTGTGAAACTGACGACAGGTGTAGCATTCTGACAATGAACGTGTCTCCGACTTTTGCACCATAGACGACCTGCCTGCTGTGAGACACGTTCTAGCACTGAGCGACTCCGCTGGTCACGGAACGATCGACTTAAGTATCCTCCTACAGCCCCAATTAACCCGTCCTACACTAGCGGCTAGCGGCACGCTTTCTTACATTAGCTACATTCAGCTAATGTAAGAAAGCGCAGCTGCATATATTGAAGTGCAAACAAATACTTACACTTGATCATTGTATGTAACATAACCATTTGGCATAGACTCGTTTTTCTTGCCATGCCCTCGTCATTTTCCTCACCTTGTACTTCCAGACGTTGCGTCCGCCGGCGGTTCTGACACACAGCTCGTCGCCGTCCTGCGTGTCGACGCGCCTCCAGTCGTCGGCCTGCAGGATGGAGAACGCCTGCTCCAGGGCCGCCTCCGCCTGCGCCTGCAGCGCCAGCTCCTGGGAGCCAACCAGGGAGTCAGATCGGGGGCCGGTCTCACATTGGACCGGGACCGGATCGGCAGGACATTAACGGTGAGGGTGCTCACGATTTCCCTCTATCCAATATTGATTATTGAGCGTTGAATTCATTATCTTGTAGTATAATTTCATCCCTTTATCGTCTTGCTAGGATTGTTTCAACACATTGTATATTCAATGGACATCTTTCTCTTTTACTACTACTCTGAAAGCATTCAGATTGATACGGCGTTCTGATGCTTATACGCATTTCGCATTTCTTTCTGGTAATCAGAAATTGAAGCAACCAGCCACTGATCCGACTGGAGTTGTGACGGCCGGCGGAGAGCGCGGTGTCGTGCGATTCTCACCTCCTTCGTGAGCCGTTTCTGAGCGGGTTTGGCAGCCGGCGGCAGCTGGGGGCTCAACGACTGCCCGAACGAGTCCGCGCCAGGCCGCGGGAACAGCGACTTCAGCTTCGACGGGTCAGCGAAATCTGAAACGGACACAAAATCAATGAGCTGTGCGTAATCTTATTCAACACCGGGATATGTAGTTTTGAACGGTCACACAACACTCTGAACACGCGATATCGACATATAGACGGTGCTTATGCGCTCCAAAACGCGTCTTAGTCTCGCTACAGACCTTATGGTCGTTAGGCTCAGATCGTCATGACAAGTGGCTTATCACCCGGAGTTTGAAGAGATGACACGTGACAGACTGTTCGACATGTGAGCACTGCTCAAGTCTGCACGAAATGGATCATTCATGTATATGACAGTGGCACCCTCTTAGTACCTATTCTATCACATTGCTAGTCATCCCATTGTCCTATTCACAGCAAAAACTCTGGTAGGGCGGAGCTCTACCCGGCGCGACCGTCCGAGCGACCTGCGGCTGTCGGACTCACCTGTGAGTGTGGTGCAGTAGGGGCGAGTTGGTGGTTCGGTCGTTGAGACTCACCTGTGAGCCTGGGTCGGCCGTTAGACTCACCTCTGTGAGCGTGGTGCAGTAAGGTGAGCCGCATTGAGGTTCGGCCGTTGGACTCACCTGTGAGCGTGGTGCAGTAGGGTGAGTCGGTCTGAGGTTCAGTCGTTGGTCTCACCTGTGAGCCTGGTTCGGCCGTTCGACTCACCTCTGAGCGTGGTGCAGTACGGCGAGTCGGTTTGAGTTTCACTGGACTCACCTGTGAGCGTTGTTCGGCCGTTGAACTCACCTGTGAGCGTGGTGCAGTAGGGTGAGTTGGCCACCATCAGGCCGGCGCGGACCGTTTTGATGGCCGACGGGCAGCCGGCGGCCAGCAGGCGACTGACGACCGGCATCAGACCTCCCGCCATCCTGCAGAGCTGCGCTCGGGAACTTTACCAGAGACTCGACAAAGGCCACGGCGCTGCCGGCACCCAGCGGTCGATGACGGGTAGTTAGCGCTGTCCGGAGATGGGTCGGTAGCGGCGAAAGGTGCCGAGCTGGGGCGCTGATACTCTCTCGGACCGGATAGTAGAGAAAAGGAGATAGAGAGTAGGGAAGGCAGAAGGGGGCTAGCTCGCGAAGGTCGACCAGCGACCTGTCCAGCGCGGCTGTCGGGCCCGATCTGCGGACGAGCTGCTGGCGGTGGCTGGTCACTACCTTCCCTGGCACCCCCTCCTCCCCGGGGGGAGGGGGACCGCGCCCTCACCGGGGGAGGAGCGCCCGAGGAGTCCTCCAATCAGGACTCAGGATCGACACGTCACCGGATCCCGCAGCGTCACGGAAGGAAGGGCTCGGAAAGCCGGGCTGTGGATACAGGAGCGTGAGAACATGAGGCGATTTTGTACGACGAGACGCCGAATGTTGGAGTGCTGTCCTACTCGCAGTCAATGCAAATTATTTATAAACATGTCCAAAAGAGGCGTTGTATTGTTTCAACTTTCAGTCATGCAATCTCCTGAATAGGATGCACGATCCAGATGCAATTACTAAGGGGGTATGAGCTGACTGGTGATGAGTCTAATAGACCGAAGGGCCGTGCAGCTGCGGTCGTCCGCCCCTCGGTGTCGGCTGACATTGAGTCAAGTCGGGCATTGAGTACTGAGTTGACTGAATCATTCGCAGCGGCGTCACCATGAACGGCGCTGGTTTCCGGCGGTTTATCGTCACTGCTAACAACACAACCATTATTGTCCCTCGTGATCGTCTACTCTATGCTTCAAGTGTGAAGTGCAGATGCTAGTCCCTGAACTGTTTGCTCCTCAGCCGCCCTCTCCACCGTTCGCATCACGGCCCCATCCCCAGTAAACAGCCCCTCCCCCATAGAAGAGAGCTGACCCCGGCTGAACTCAGCATCCCGGTCGCCGGCAGCTGACGCGATTGTCGCGTGACCGACCCCCTATCCCCCCCTCCCCCAGCGGCGGCGTCTATGGGTCGTCTACTGTCAGCAGCACCGTCACCCCGCCCCGACGGAGACAACAGACATCACAGAAGCCGCCGCCTGCCCGTTGCCATGGCAACGCCACCGCGATGAGGTGGCCCGTCTTGTGAGGACGGTGACGAGAGGAGGACTTGACGTCATGGAGGTTCTAGGAAATGTTACGTGTGTCTGGAGAATGTGTGTCGGTCGAACTGTGCTGTCAGCAAAACAAGATATCTGTTGGTTCCCAGCTACGACAGGCCTTGCCTTCATTGAATTTATATTTATTATTCATTTTACGAATTTCATTGAATATTCCAACTGCTGTGAACTCGATTACTGTTAGAATAACGAATAATTTCGAACTCGAAAAACAAATAACTGGTAATAACTGTTAGAGACCAACCAGAAATATGCAGTCTATCACGATTCAGCGTTTGAGCACCTGTGACTCCATGCAGTTTGAGGCATCTACAGTCGACACCATTCCTATCAAACGATTTTGCCATTAGGACTGCTGTCACGCTCCAAACCTCTAAAATACCGGCATGCCAGCATGCCTACAGTGCACAACTGCACAGCAGCCGTATCCGGGCTGATTCGTGGCGGAGAGAGACGAGCCTCCAAAGTTCGATCGGCATGACCGGGTAGAGTGGGGAGGGAGGACTCAGAGGAGAGGGGAGGATCCGGGAGGAAAAGCCGCCGCGGATGGCGGATATCCTGTGTCGAGCACGACTCCGAGCGAGTCGACCGCTCGTGCCGCGGCCACCGGCACGTAGCCGGGGTCCGGAGCGGAACCGCTGACCGCTTCATGGCCCGCTGAGACCCGGCGGGTGCGGCGGGGTGTGGGCAGCAGCCGCGGGCCGTGGCTCCGCCGGCACGAGCCCCGAATTCCTGGGCGTGGTTGCCGGGTTGGAAACGCCGCCCCCTCTGACATGGCCGCACCATATTAGTCCGGTGGCAACACGGAGTCATAAGCATCGGACATTGTGAAATAAAATGACGGCACAGAAGTACACAAATGTCTCTGGTGTCTGCAGTGTCTTGGAACGTGTTATTGACCCTCTAGTATGGGGGAAGGGGGGGGGGGGTCGAACGGACCCTCCTCGGCTTTTGCGAATAACTCGGGTAAATAGCGGCCAACCGCGACGAACCTTTCAGTACCCTCGAGATAATCAATTTTACAGCTACCCTTAAAATGTCATGACCCTGACCCACATGACCTTTGACCTGTGACCTATTTCTCGAGACCATGTTTGGCCGGAATCGCGGATTCGGCGTAGTCTGCTCGCATTAGCCGCGCGTTTGCAGTCTTTTCGTGGTTTCAGGCGTTCAAGCATGTGATATGATGTTTGTCCAAGTTGCTACGCGCCCTAACCCACAACAACAACAACATGATGTTTGTCCCATGCATTAGGGTGGGTGTCAAGGTCATCTGAAGGTCAGGTCAGTTCATTGACCTTTGATGATCTCGGTTCACTTTTCGTGTTTTACAAGTTTCTACGCTAGCTTTTGGCGCTGAATTCGAATTTAGCAACCATCTGAACATTTGCAAAGTAGTTTTGGCGCCTTCGTAACATGTTAACAAGCTGTCAAAGGCGGTTGACACCTACGAATACCCGGCAGGACCCCTACTATTTGACCTGACCTGATCTGACCCGACCTGGCCTAAATGCTTGAAGACATCATCTGTTATCAACCGAAAAACCCAGAAGCAGCAACATTACGACGTTAACAGGTTCCGATTTTCCCGACTTTTGGGTCACTAACCTGAGTCTGACCTCAGACCTGGAAGGTCAACCAATGACCTAGGACCTGAAAATGGGTATCGTCGGCTTCCTCTCGTCACGGGCAACACGCTCGTTTTTTTTCTGCGAAGCTCTAGCTCGATCAGGGGCCTTTATATGTTTGCGGCTGGCAAAACAACAATAGGTACGGGCGAGGGTTAAGCAAAGTGCTGGGAACAAACTGGTTTCGATCCCCTAAACAAGATTCGTGCCCAGTAAAGACCTACTCTAATGCCCGAGGCTGGATATTGCCATCGAGTCGGTGCCAGCGCCGTGCGCATTCAAGACAAGTTTCTCTCACAATGACTCATGCACCCTTCTCAGTAACAAGTTAGCTTGATATTTTAAGTTTTTATTGAAATGAATACAATCACTGACGAATGAATAAGCTCATATTTCACATGCATGGTTCATATACACACGGTAAGCCTTTGCTAACATCCATCCCGGAAGTAGCGGTATAGATGATCAATTTGTGGTCTTTACAGACCTTACAGACCCTAAGTACCGAATGTGACCCTAAGTACCTAACTGGATGCGTTTGGAAAACGTGTATCAATATCACAACATTTCAGCGAGTTCAATATGGATATGTTCCGTTTCCCAACTATGTATACAAAATTTAAACATCGAAACCCAGCTCAAAAAGACTGAGTTACATGAAAAAGGTCTAAGTACAACTCAACTAAAAGCATTACCTTCTACAGACATCAAGAACGGTTGGTGCATCAGCGCACTGCTTAGAAAAGGAACACATCTTTCAGAGGAGAGCACCCAACTCAAAAACTTTTCCCAACACCTCACAGAAATATGATGACGGGCTGGATTTCTTACAAGCAGGTCCGGTCGCCGCCGCGTCGCATGGTGACGGCGGTAGCGGAGTAGCTGACGGCTGCTGGCGGACTCCCGTCGGTAGCAGCCGGCCGGCCGGTCAGCAGCTGCTGTCGGTAGCAGCCGGCCGGCCGGTCAGCAGCTGCTGCTCACAGCCGGCCGGCCGATCGGCAGCTGCTCTCGATAGTAGTCGGCCGGCCGGTCAGCAGCTGCTGCTCACAAGTCACAGCTGCTGTTCACAGACGGCCGGCCGGTCAGCGCTCTGCTGCTCACAGCCGGCCGGTGGTCAGCGCCAGCAGGGCGGCCGGCAGCAGCAGTAGCAGCAGCGCCGGCGAGCTTCGACCCGCCGCGTTACAAAAGTCCGACGAGCACGAGCAGGCGATGGCACCGTCTCTCTTGGTGCAGCCGTCCTCCTGCGGCAGCGGCGAGCACGAGCGGGTCGTTTTGCCGTCGCTGAGCACCATTTTGACGCAGGAGCTGCCAAGCGTGCAGTCGTCGGCGCGGAACCGGGCGTCCTTGGGCCGGAACTCAGAGCACGGCGCTAGCCCCGTCAGCGAGCTGATCGACTTGAAGATGTCGTCGAATGTGTTGGCCAACGAGCTGTCGCCCGTGTCGACGTCCAGCAGGTCGGTACACTTGTAGCAGCTGATGGCGGAGCTGGCCGGCAGGCTGACCAGCAGCACCGCCAGCGGGGCCAGCAGGACGGCGGGGCGGGACATGACGGCGGAGAGCGGACGGACACGGACCGGAGCGCGGAAACGCGGGGCGCGGACTGCGGCGGCGCGGCCGGCCGCGATAGCCCCGGACAGTCGGCGCCGCTCGTACGGCTGCCTGTCACACAGACTTCCCAGACGACTCAGCTGACGCTTTCCACCGCGCAGATTCGCACCACAACAGTAGACAAAAACAGCAGCCGCAAACAGATGTGGCTTCACAATGCTACGCTCACAAAACTTGTCGATCGATTTAGACTCCTGGTATCACGGTCGTCTTTTCACACAGGTGCAAAATCAGGAGACGCGTCACCACTTCTATCGATTCTCGCAGTGTTGTCTCCGGCACTGCAATCCCCAGGTTCACGGCCGAGCGGTCACTCCAAGGTCGCGCGCCGCCGTGCGCGGTGTGGAGGCTGCAGAGAGCGCCGCCGGCGCCGCGGCGCGCACCATCTACCGACCGCCGGCGGTACTGCTGCATGGACGGCCTCCATGCAGCCTCCGACCGGCGCGCTCACTGCAGCGGTAACCGAGGCGGCTATCGATCCGCCCCAACGTCCCCGGAGCCGGACGGCGGGGGATGCAGCACAGTGACGCTCTGTCCACGGTCCATTGGCGGTCCATTGGCTTATGCGGGGCAGTTGCTGGATTGGAATGTCTGGCGCCATGGCGGCAGGATTAGAACCACTCGGTAAAATTAAAACACGGAATAGCTCCTAATGCCGAACGTTGCGGCGAATGCTAGCCGGAACAGTTTATCGCAGCAAATTCCATTCTGTCGCCGACAGCATTCAATCTCGTTACTTTGTTTTGGGCATCAACCATGGGTATGTGAATCCGTATCGACCCTGGCGCAGTGAGCGTACTGATAGGATGTGTGGCCGCCTTTCGGAAGAGGAAGCCAGATAACCACGGCGGTCACTAAAAATACTCGTAACCAGAGGTAACGAAAGCCGGTAGGCGGGCTCCAGCTCCGAGTGGACCCCCCCCCGCTAGCAGTGGGCGAATCCCCTCCCCTCTGGTGAGGGACTCACCTCCTCCGTTCCGGCGCGGCGGCGAGCGGAAGGTGAGAACGATCCTAGACGGTCGTCCAGCAGCCCCAGTTCGGATCGGACCGGAATCCCGGGAGGCCGGGATCAGGATCGTGCATCTCAGGATACCGACGGCGATGAAACAGACAAAAACACAGCTCTCAGGCAACAATAATGATATTTCAGCAAATAAACACATTCCGACTGTCATATACTCAGCATCACGTATGAGCTCTCACGGCAAGTCAACCTGGCTAGATGGTTGTAACAGTACAATAAACACGTAACCGCCAGTCCACCTAATTCTTTGAAAGCAAGAGCCGATTAAATTACCCACTCATAACACGCAGGGAGGCGAGGCGCCACCACCTGGCAAAATTGACTTCGCACGACAACCACACGTGAAATAACAACACGTCCTATACCACACGATAGCATATCGCGCGCACAATCAGTAAGACCCCAGACAGAGGCACCTCGCAGCTGGAATGTTTTCATACACCACCTCACAGCGCTGCGGCCCTCCAAAGCGATCCGGTGCGACCACCACACCACGCCGACAGGCCCTCTACAGAGCTTCAGTAGTACCCTGACTCCAGCGGGCCGCGACACACACCGTCGGCATGCTCTGTAACGAGCGCTGACGAGACTGAGATGGCGACAGCTAGCGGCGTTACAAGGCCCTGATGGAGTCGGTCAGACCCTGGACGTCGTGCGGGCCGCCCTTCTCCTGCGGCTGAAACACGCGGAGAGGGAGCGGTCAGGGGAGTGGTGGGACGGGCCGCCCTTCTCCTGCGGCTGAAACACGGGGGGGGGGGGGTGTCAACGGAAATGGCCTGATAAAAACAGACTGACAAGAGCAATACGAGCAAGAAAAGGCTACTTGCACAAGCGGCAGCTGCAGACGAAAAAACACAACATTATAGACTAAACCACGTCAAATCCATATTTGACCGCACTGTATGTATGTACAAACGAGCTATTAAAAGAGCAAGGCTTGGCCTACATAATAACATGGGATATTGAGGGACAAGTCATGCAGATCACTGTAAATAGCACCGGTCCACCGGTCGCTTGTACAGCTGATCCTGTACGGACAACTTAATCTATAGTATGTACTTGGTCCTATAAAGCCTCACTTTGAAATTCGCTTCGACTGCAACATCGGATTACCCCGTTGAGGGGTTGATCCTCTCTCACTAGTTGTCGGTATCCGTCCCCCTCACCATGACACAGATGTGCGTGGGCAGGTCACTCCCTCCCAGCTCCTCACCATGACATAGATGTGTGTCAGTCCCTCCCAGCTCCTCACCATAACACAGATCTGTGTGCGGACAGGAGTCCCTCCCAGCTCCTCACCATAACACAGATCTGTGTGTGGGCAGGCCAGTCCCTCCCAGCTCCTCACCATGACACAGATGTGTGTGGGCAGGTCAGTCCCTTCCAGCTCCTCACCATGACACAGATGTGTGTAGGTCAGTCCCTCCCAGCTCCTCACCATGACACAGATGTGTGTCAGTCCCTCCCACCTCCTCATCATGACACAGATGTGTGTGGACAGGTCAGTCCCTCCCAGCTCCTCACCATGACACAGATGTGTGTGGAGTGTGGACAGGTCAGTCCCTCCCAGCTCCTCACCATGACACAGATGTGTGTGGGCAGGTGTCGGAGCGCGGCGTCGATCAGTTCCGCGGCTTCCACGGGCGCTCCGTCTCTGTAGAGCGTCAGCCGCGGCCGGGGCAGCGTCAGCCGGCCCGACAGGCGCGGGTACAGGTTGTAGGTGAGCTGCCGACTGCCGCCCGGCACCACACGGAACTGGTACTGAAACGGACCGGCGCGGGCCGGGTGAGACGTCTGGCTGAATACAGGCGTATATTATACACAGTAAATGGAGCAGTGTAAACAATTTTACAACTGGGATCACCTCTATTTTCTGCACAAAAAAGTACGACAACGACGCCCTTCTTGAACTCCTTCCGAATACAACCCCGAATAGCAAAACACCAATTCATATCGCGTTCACAGCTTATGATGCTCTCAACGCTGTCATCCAGTCACTCACGCGTTTGTTTCCGGCGAAGATGAATCCGTCGCTGGGCTCCATGAGCATCATGAGGCTGTAGACGTGCGCGCTGCGGTTGGTGACCGTGTAGCGGACGGCGAGTGGGGTGCGCACGGTGCCGTGGGCGGGCAGGTCGGCCGTCACCTGCAGCGGGCACGGCACCACCTGCAGCGCCGGCGCCGGCGACACCGTGCTCACCGGACGGTCGTCCCACTCCGACCTGTCAGCCGAGGGAGGAGGTGATGGAGGCAACGTCAAATATCAGGCGTGTAATTAAAGAAGAACATGTATGCATACACTTCTTGTGTCTGAGTAGCTGGAATGGATTTTCAAGTGAAATGTCGTAAATTTTGAGACGACGAAACAATATAAAGCATATCTTGAAACACAGTTAAAATTGCCTGTCGGTAGAGTCGCCGCATTCTGAATATTCATTTGTCGCGTCAGTCGGCTTCTTACCTGTTCCAGATGACTGTGTAGGAGCCGGGCTGGGCGGCGCCGGCCGCCGCGCCGGCCGTCACCGCCACACACTCTGTGGCCGACTCCATGGGCTGGAGCACCAGGTCGCGGAGGCCGCCGCCGGCCGGCGCGCCGTCCTCCGAGGTGGTACCGTCCTCCTCCTCACCCTCCGAGTCGCACACGGTGAACAGGGTCTCGTCCTGGGGACGGGTGGCCCCAGGGGTCAGCGGTCAGCGCGCAGAGCCACAGCGGGTGAGGCGGAGACATGCACTTCGGAGGAGGGAAGACCTCACCAGTACATAAACATTGGCGACAGCGACGAACGAATTAAATGCGACCAACGTTACAGGAATACCCACGGATCTACCGTACCACATAAGTCAGCGTTGTCATAGGAACATCCGCTGGACCATGAGCGAGTCAAACACGAACTGTTCCCTAAACGAAGCGCAACTTTCAATATAAAGCATATCCGCGAGAGCCAGACAGCGAACGTAAATCTTTCCATCGCAGCCCGCACATTGCCCTTCATGAAAGGGCAATGTGCGGGCTGCGATGGAAACCGCACTGGCTGCTGCAGCCCCTTCGGGAGAAGGGAACTGGACATGGCCATCTCCAAGCTCGCCGGACGCAAGGCCCCCGGATCTGACGGGGTAACCAACGAGATGATCGTGCACCTCGGCGACGCCGGGCGGGAGAAGCTGCTTGAGCTTGCGAATCTCAGCTGGGCCCGGGGTGAACTCCCCTCGATCTGGCGCAAGGGCACAATCGTGCCGATTCTCAAGAAAGGGAAGCCCCGTGACCAGCCCGGCTCCTACCGCCCCGTCAGCCTGCTCAGTTGCCTGGGGAAGGTGGTCGAGCGGCTGGTCCAGGCGCGCCTCTACTGGCTGGTCGAGCGGAGGAACCTGCTGCACCCGGCCCAGGCGGGGTTCCGGCGGGCGCGCTGCACGGAAGACCAGGTGATGAAAGTCACCCAGGCTGTCGCGGACGGATTTCAGAGGAGAAGGAGGACGGTCATGGCCCTGGTCGACTTCAAGCGGGCCTTCGACCGCACGTGGCACATCGGGCTCCTATGGAAGATGGCTGACCTCGGACTGCCGCGCTGCCTGGTGGCGTGGGTCCGTGCTTTTCTGGAGGACCGGCAGGCGCGCGTCCGTTTTAACGGCCAGCTAGGAGGCTACCGCTGCGTGCGGGAGGGCACGCCGCAGGGAGCGGTGCTCTCGCCGCTCCTGTTCCTTCTCTTCATCAATGATATCGCCACCGACTTCCCGCCGGGAGTCGAGATCACCCTCTTCGCAGACGACCTGGCTATCTTCGCCACTGAGAGGACCATCGCCGAGGCTGAGACGAGGGTCCAAGCGGCGCTCAACGAACTGTTAAAGTGGGCGGACCGCTGGAAGATGGAGGTCAGCGCGGAGAAGACCGTGGCCACTGTCTTCACCCTCGACCCTCACGAGGCGAGACGGGAGGCCTGCCTGCACATGAGGACCACCAGACTACGACACGAACCGACGCCGACCTTCCTGGGGGTCACGTTCGACCGCACACTATCCTTCAAGCAGCATGTGGCCAGCCTCAAGGCCAGGATGGTCAGAAGGTGCAACGCCCTGAGAGCAGTTGGAGGAAAAGCCTGGGGAGCGAGCACCACGGACCTGAGGATGCTCTACGTGAGCGCTGTTCGGCAGCCGGCTATTTTGTGTGCAGGGTATGACGTATTTCGCGAGCCGACGTCACAGGCGGTGACGTCGGCTCGCGCGCGAGCCGAGCGCCAACGACAAACTAACGGGAACCCTCGGACACCCTCGGGGCATAAACCGCGGAGTAGCATATTGAGCGAGTCTTATAAGGAAAATTCATATATTTTCGTTTCTCAAATGATAATCAGCGTGTCTCTTACCTTTTTACATATCATTTAGGCTTACCTAACACTTCAGTTGCCAAATATCTGCAATTTATTCAAGCGAAGGTATTTTCAGTAAATATAAATGGTATAGACCGAAATCTTTTGAATAAAAACTCCAATCAACAGAAATAAAAATAACTTAATTTATTCCAACCATTTCCTCCAAATAAACAACATAAAAACTCATTTTTACACACATCATTCATAATAAAGCATACTAACACGCCGCTTTTGACAATTGCGGCGTCGAGTGGCGCGCTGCTAGCGCTCTTTTTCGATCGCAGAGACCCTGCACGCACGCGAGCACACTACGTCACGTCCGGGGGGCACAGGTATATGAAAAATCGCAGTGACGTAACACTTTTCTCGCTTCTCATTGGTCAATAGCCCGTTGCCGGGGTAACGTGCACGTATGTGAGCGCGGGCAAGAGTACTAGCCGGCCGCCGATCAGGGCTCTGGCTTACATCAGGGCGTGCGCGGACTACGCTGCAGCGGGCTGGATGTCAGGAGTGGCCCCCACTACGCTGGAGCAGTTGGAGGTCGCCCAGCGCCAGGCATGCCGGATCATCACCGGCTGCCTCAGGTCCACCCCGGCGCCAGCGCTGGAGCGCGAGGCGGACGTGATGCCGTTCGCGATACGGCGGAGGCAGCTGACGGCCGCGGCGACCCAGCGGCACCTGAGGGACCTCCCGGGGGATCCCCTGCAGCCGGTGCTGACAGCGACGAGGCCCAGACAGCGGCTCCACCGAGATCGAGGCTGGGCCGACACGGGACTCAGTACGTCCTCGGACGCTGGTCTGGGGGACCTCCCGCGGGAGCCGGTGCTGGTGGTCCCACGGACGCCGCCGTGGGAGAGTGCCGCGGGAGGCGTCACCATCAGCAGTGCTGTCGCGAGACCGACAAAGAGAACGGACCCACCGGACAAGCGGTTGGAGGCGGCACAAGAGACCCTGGCGGGACTCCCGCCAGCCGACTACACCGTATTCACAGACGGATCGGCCACAGACGGTGTCGAAAATGGCGGAGCGGGAGCCGTTGTCTTCCGGGGGGCGACGGAGCTGGAGAGGATCCGGACCCCTGCAGGCCGCTGGACCTCCAGCTACCGCGCGGAGCTAACGGCGCTCGACTCTGCCCTCGCGTCCCTCCTGAGGGGCGCGGAGGGCCCTGCTCCGCGGGAGGTACGAATATGCACCGACTCCCAGTCGGCCCTGCGTCGCCTCGCGGAGGGCCCGGCGGCGCAGACGGATGTCCTGGCGGACAGAGTCTGGCAGAGGCTGCTGGACCTAGCCGACCGCGGGACGCACACGTCCCTGCAGTGGGTTCCCGGCCACGCCGGGCTCCCCGGCAACGAGCTGGCCGACGAGATCGCACGGGAAGCCGCCAACCTGGAGCAGCATGACGTGCCGATAGACCTCCCGTCAGCAAAAGCCAGGCTGAGGAGGCACGCCCACCGGGAGTGGGAACAGCGGCTGCAACCGACCCGCTACGCCCTGCAGAACGGAGTGCGCCGCCCCCCTACGGCTGAGCGCCTGGGACTCTCCCGCCGGGAGTGCGTGGAGGTCGCGAGACTCCGTACCGGCCACTCACTGATGCTGCGGGAGTATCGACACCGAATTGGCCTGGAAGATGACCCCACCTGCCCGGAGTGCGGGCTGGAGGATGAGACACTAACTCACCTCCTGACCGACTGCCCCGCCCGGGCAGATGCGAGACGAAGGATATTCGGAGAGGACGAGCCGGAGATAAAGGAAGCACTGGGAGACCCGACGAAGCTGGTGGAGCTCCTGAGGCGGCTGGGCCGCCTGTGAGGCGTCCCCCCGTATGGCTTCCAGCCAAGGGCCGGAAGCACTTCAACTTCAACTTCAACGTAAATCTGGCACGCAGTATTATTTTAGTCAAGCACGCTTCAACATACAGCAGCAAACATCAGGGGTAGCGGACAGATCAGCCCTTTTCAATCAGTCACACCACCGACGAGTCTCCCTGCCAGGCTCCCGGCGCCGGGCCGGGTCATTATGACCACCCCAGTCGCGTCGCTCACCATCTGCAGCAGCGTGGAGCGCAGTCGGACCGTGTGCGGGCCCGTGTTGGTGATCTGGGCGATCAGCAGCGCCGTCTGATCGGCGCCGACCGCCTCCACCGGCTCCAGCGTCAGCGCCACGGCGCGCACAGACATCTGGGGCGCACGGCGGGGGACACGGTACCAGTCAGTCGGGGGAGGCGGCACGGGACGATGAGGTACTGATAGGTGTAGAAAACGCACCGACATCTGGGGCGCACGGCGGGGGACACGAGTCGAGTCAGACAGGGGAGAGCACGGGACGATGAGGTATTGGTAGGGGTGGAGCGGGCACGGACATCTGAGGTCGGGCACGGCGGAGGACACGGAACGAGTCAGGTACAAGTCAGTCAGGGGGTGGCACGGGACGATGGGGTACTGGTAGGGGGTGGAGCGGGCACGGATAGCTGAGGTCGGGCGCGGACATGAGGAGACAAGTCAGTCAAGGCTGACAATGGGGTACAGCGGTATCCTTGGACGGGTACGGACAAATTCTCAGCTGGTGGTAGGCACATGGATATGAAAGTCAGTGAACGACGGCCCCGGATGTCTGAGTCTCTCTCAGGACAGCGACGAACACTTGATCGTCAAGTTTGTGAGCTAATACAAATAAACTAACCTCAGCCCTCAGCAGTGTCTGTGTCTCTCCGCTGTCCGACCACTCACCTGGAACGGGTGCACCACCTCCAGACCGACTGTGTGCGCCACGCGGCCCTGGCACAGGCCGGCCTCAGTCTGCTCCGAGTAGCGGGCGGCCAGCTGCAGCTGCCGGCCGGCCGCCGTCAGGCACTGCACGCCCAGCAGCTGCCGGCAGCTGGCCAGCGGCTGCACGGAGCCGCACGGCAGCTGCAGCGGCTGCGACAGCGGCTGGCACATGTCGCCGTACACCACGAACGCTGCGGTGGGGGGACGCACATTGCGGCCGGTCACAGATAGAGTCGGGAAGGCGGGCAAGAGCCGGAACTGATGATACGGATCGCAGCGCAATAATGCTTCAAGATCGTCCAACTTGAACTACCAGCGGGATGTCAACGTAATCTATCGCAAAAAAGTGCTGGTAGACTAAACATTCTCTACCTGAACATCGTTTTCCGCATACATCATATATGTATAATTGTATAATATCCGCATGTATAAATCATACGCTACAGTCGTCATTGGAACTCGCAAACGTTATTCGAGGTGCGTAATGCGTATTTATGTTCGCATCATATACGGACAATGCGCCACTACCCACCCCACATCCTCCACCGCCCGGCCCCACTCACTGTTTTTGGCCGTCTCCTCGTCGGCGCCGAGCAGGCTGACCTCCAGCACGAGGTCGGTGACCTCTGCGCCGAGGTCGTCACAGGTCAGGCAGGCCTCCAGCTGGTACACCTCGCCGACCAGGGCGGGCGGCCGGTGGTCGGCGGCGAGTGTGAGTCGGGCAGGCCGGGGCACAACGGTGGCACACAGACCCCCGAGCTCGGCGAACGGCGCGCCCACCGGCAGGCTGCGGGTTGGGGGGGGGGGGCGAGTAAGATGAGGGTGATGCTGGAAAGATCATAAAACTTGTGCTACTGAGAATCAACAATGACACATGGCTGACGCCATGGCACAGCGGAACAATCGCCAAATAGCATAGATTGAATGCAATAAACAGTTCAATAAATCGGTACAGTCACGATTTACGCCTTACGGCCATCAAACATAATTCCCAGTAAAGCCCGCATCGATCCACAAGGTCGATCCGCGCAGTCTGGGGCACCCACCCGAACATGCTCTGGTGCAGCTGCTCGTCCCCGAGGCTGAGCTTCCACTCGAGCCGCAGCGGCAGGCAGTCGGGCGCCGCCAGCTCCAGCGCCACCGTCTCCAGCCACACGACCGAGCCGAGCTCTGCCAGCCGGGCGGGCACGTCCAGCGTGAGCACGCGCTCGGCGCCGGCCGGCAGCGGTCCGCCGGCGGCCGTCTGCGCGCCGCGGCCCGCCACCGCCACGCGGGCCGTCTGCAGCGGCAGCGGCGCCGCGCTCAGGTTGGCCAGCCGCAGCCGCACCGTCAGCGGCCGGCCCTGCTGGTAGCGCGCCGCGCCGAACGACGCCGAGCACGAGACGAGCGTGTCGCGGGAGGAGAGCTCCAGCGGCACCGGCTGGTGGACGGCGGCCAGCGCGGCCGGCCAGCCGGCGGCCACCGCGCAGCCCGGCTCCGGCTCCGGCGGCTGCCGCTGCAGGCAGACACATAGACACAGAGACGGCGTCAGGACTCGTCACACAGAGATACAGACATGACACGGCGTCACCGATCAGAGCTCGTCACAGTGGCAGAGAGCGAGGGTCACTGTGTGACTCAGAGTACACAGATACTCCGGCAGCTGCCTCCGCTGAAACATGCCGCAAACAGACAGCCGCAGACCAGTGCTCATCACACCTGCGTAAGATATAAGTGATATAAGAAAAATTTGTCTTTCAGATTCAGTGTATGTTTGACATTCTAACTAGCGACACAGACACCAATGCCATGCGCTCCAAGTAGTGCTCGTTCGCCCCTCACTCCCGCCTTCCCCATCAGCCGTGATAGTCTAGTGGTTAGGACCTCGCGTTGTGGCCGCGATAACCCCGGTTCGAATCCGGGTCACGGCAGGCCGGCTTTTTCGAGAACGTCTCTTTGAGATCAAAAGCGGATGAGAATGGGAGAGTGCTCGCAATTATTGCGGTATGTATTACTATAAATGGAGAACGGGGGAGTGCTCGCAATTATTGCGGTATGTATTACTATAAATGGACTGTACAATATAAAATAAATTTTCGCAAATACAAGCCTGATGTTTCCGTCAGTTCGCCGCAAGCACAGTGCTCAGTGCTCAGTGCTCACGGTCACCGCAGGATAGTGGTTATACAGACTAAATATCGATCCAAAGTTACGGCCATCTTGACGTTTGCTTGGACAGCAGCTACTATTAGTACTTCAAAGGATCAAAAAAGTACACACCACACGTGGTATTCAATCATATATGGTAATGAAGTTATGTTTAGCTGGTTTTGCTATTAAATGTGTAATTCACTAAATTGAAGAATTATAACAAAACCAGGCAACTATCTCAGGAACAATACACCCACAGCAATATTACCCACGTCACCCTGACATGTGGAAAAGGGGCCGCTCCGGCCGCTCCTCTCTCTTCTGCGCGGACGCGGACCGCGCCTTAAGGCGCGGCCGGCGGGGGCGGGTCGGTGGCGACCTGCACCCGCCCCACTCTCTTCAGATAACTGATGATGTGTTGGGCCGGCCCCGAGAGCACTTCCGCCAGGGTCGGACAGTGCCCCCAGAAGCCGGCCCTCGCCGCCACGTGTGCAGGGCACCCGGCCAGGAGGTGCTCCACGTCCTCCTCCTCCTCGCCGCAGGCTCGGCAGGTCGGGTCTTCGACCAGGCCGAGGCGATGAGCTGTGGCTCGCACCAGTGGGCAGTAGCCGGTGCGAAGCTGGGACAGGGTGGCCTGGCCCCACCTGTCCAGCTCATCGTGGCTCGGAGTAGGTTCTCGATGTGGGTGCCGCTGCGCCCTTGCGGAGGCCAGCTCCGATGTCCAGCGACGGATGGCTGTCCGCGCGCTGGAGAGGTCGATCGGGGCCTCCTCTTGAGCGCAGTCGGCGGCGGCTTGATTGGCGAGGCGGTCGGCTGCCTCGTTGCCGGCGAGGTCGGCGTGGCCCGGGACCCAGTGCAGGGTGATATCCTTCCCTGCGGCTGTCAGCGCGTCTATTAGGCCCCAGACGCGCTGACCGATGGCCGACTGTTGGTCGTCCGGGCCGCGGCTAAGTAGCTGGAGCCCCGACCGGGAGTCTGTGCAGAGCAGCACTCTCTTGATGAGTGCTTTAGAGGGGGCCGGTAGCTCATGGAGACACGTCAGGGCCTCCGTCATTGCCACCAGCTCCGCCCTCATACTGCTGCACACTCGACCGGCCGGTGCCACGCACTCTATTGTGCGTCCCTCGCGGTGAAGCTCCAGGATCGCTCCACCGCCGCCTTGGATGGTGCCTTCCTTGGCGGATCCGTCCGACCAGATGGTACAGTCTGGATCGGGGACGAGGGCCAGCGCCGCTAACGCCGCCTCCTTTCTCTTTTCCGGCAGGTCTGTCCTCCTTGTGGGCTGCGGCAGGTCCAGCACGAAACGGACGGCGTCTCCACAGTGGTGCCAGGGTGGTGCGCCCTGGTAAAGTGCCAGGGGCTCCACTGGGAGGTCGCTCAAGCCCGCCCTGTCGCAGACCCACCTACCGACCCGACGGAAGCATGGCTTGAATGAGAGGGTCGCGTCTTCGTCTGCCGGTGGCGGCGGTGGCAGACCCGCCTCTTCGGCAGACGTCACCGCGCGCCTCCATGCCTCGTGGGCCCGGTAGCGGAGTCTCGGTGGTGGTGTCTTGTCCAGTAGGTTGCGAGCGGGGTCTCCCGGAGGTAGACGGACTATGCGCGCGTACTCGCCGGCTGCTAGCTCCTTGGCACGGAGTGATAGCGGAGGGAGGCCTGCCTCCGCCATCAGGGTCTCCTTATCCGTGAGCTTGATGCAGCCGGTAATCAGGCGCGCACATTTCCGCTGCTCTACCTCCAGGCGCTCGCGGACAGCCGGTGCCGCATGGGTGAAGTAGATGGCCGCCCCGTAGTCGAAGAGGGAGCGCACGTAGCTCTTGTAGGCGATGCGGAGTGTGCTACGGTGGCTTCCGTAGCTCCTTCCGGCAATCGCTGACAGGCAAGCACGGCGCTTTGCCATCTTCTCTCTGAGGGCGGCGATGTGGGCGGCGAAGGTCAGCTGGCAGTCCAACTTCAGGCCGAGGAAGGTGGGCGTCTCCTCGTAGCCTAGCGGATGGTCGCAGAAGCTGAGCTGGGGCTTGACCTTGCCGCCGCACTCCTTGGGGTCCAGCGTGAAGGTGGTCATCACGCACTTGGATGGACTAGGTTGGACCTTCCAAGTCTTCACCCAGCGGCTGACCTCGTCCAGGGCCGGTTGGAGCCTGTCCACACACTCCTGCAGAGAGCGGCCCGTCGCGAGAAGGGCCACATCATCCGCGAAGAGGGAGACCGTTGGGCTCGAGTCTCCGGCCCGGAGTTGGTCGTCGATGTCGTTGCAGTAGATGAGCCAGAGGAGAGGGGCGAGCACGCTGCCCTGCGGCAGGCCCTCCTGGAAGACCCGCCACCGGGAGGCTGACGTGCCCCATCTCACTCTAGCGCGCCGGTCGCTGAGTAGGGCCCTGATCCAGCGTGTGGCGCAACCCGGCACACCCAGTCGCCGCATCTTAGCGTACAGCGCATCCCGCCACACCCGGTCGTACGCTCGCGCGTAGTCCAGGAGGACGAGGATGGCTCGCTGCGGTTTCTTGGACTCGAAACCGTCAAAGATGGTCTGGGTGACTCGGGCTAGCTGGTCCAGTGTAGAGTGGCCCCTCCGAAAACCGGCCTGGTTTCGGTTCAGCTTTCCGGCGCGCTCGAGCCAGTGTTGGAGGCGATGCTGCACGAGTCGTTCAGCGAGCTTTCCGATACAGCTTAGCAAGCTGATCGGTCTGTAGCTGCCGGTCTCGTTGGGCGGTTTCCCTTTCTTGGGAATAGCGACTATTTCCGCCGCCCTCCATGACGCGGGAACCTCCCCGGTGCGCCAGCTCCAGTTCAGCACCTCCAGCAGATGGCGTTCCGCTGAAGGGCTGAGTTGGTGGAGCATGTCGTTGGTCACTTGATCGACCCCGGGGCTGCGTCCCTTCCGCAGTTTCCTGATGCCGAGCAGGAGCTCTCTGCGGGAGAAGGGCGAGCAGAAGGCGTCACGACCGCCGTTGCAGCACGTCTGGCTCGTGGCTCGTCTAGCCTCGATCTTGATGGAATGATCTGAGGTCTTGTCCTTGGGCAGGCGGGACACCTGCGCGTAGGCCTGGCAAAAGAGATCTGCCTTCTCTTTGTCAGTGACGGCTGGTCTCGTCGGTTGCGCAGGTTGTCCCTCCGTGCCCGGTCTTGAGATGGCTACGGCCGGCTTAGCTGGAGGACGCCGGCCGTCCATGGTGCGGATCAGGTGCCACATGTCTCCGTCCGGCTTGAGGTCTGCCGCCTTTTGACGGAAGAAGGCGGTCTTCTCGTTGTCCACGACTTTGTCGGCCGCTGCCCGCTCCTCCTGGTAGCGCAGGACGTCCGCGCGAGAGCGGCTACGGGATGCAGCTACCCGTGCCTCTTCCCGTCGATCGGTTGCGTTCTGGCAGGCTTGGTTCCAGAAGGGCGGGCGTCGCCCTCGGCCGTTTCCGAAGGGGATGCTGGCCCTGGCCGCCCGCAGGATAGTGGCTGCTAGCCTGCTGGCGGCCTCGTTCAGGGAGGTTGGCTGGGCCGACCAGGCGTTGATCAGCTGATCCAGCTCCTCCCGAAACTTGGGCCAGTCCGCACTCCGGTGGGAGAACCGGCCTCGGCCTTCCCGTCGTGGACGTTGCACAGACGAAGACAGTGTGACGAGGATCGGCAGATGGTCAGAGCCGATTCCTCGCTGCGTCACCCAGGTGACGTCTCTTGATCGCAGGAGGTCCCTGGAGGCCAGTGAGACGTCTGGTGCAGAGACTCCGCCGGTGCTGGGATTTTGCCTGGTACACCCGCCGTCATTGAGGATGGTCATGCCGTTGTCGACGGCCCAGTCCTCAATGGCCTCTCCGAGTGCTGTCTCGGGCTGGTAGGTGTCCCAGCTGAGGCTGTGTGCGTTGAAGTCACCGCACACCACGGCGGGGTGCTCCAGTCTGATCCCGTCCGGCTGGAATCCCTGCTCCTGGGTGCCCTGGCCTGTTGTCCAACGCGCTGGAGGTGCGTAGATGTTGTAGACCGACAGGCCAAGGGTCTTTGACGCATGCACCGTCACCGAGACACAGTAGGTGTTGGGGTCTGGTCGGGTGGGGCGGTACGGAGAGGGGTTGACACTGTACGGGATATCGTCCCTCACCAGTGTCAGAACACCCCCTTGACCCTTGGGGGCGGGTGGCGGTCCGGCTACAGGACGTTGCCGCGTCGCTGCGCCTGTTGGTGCCGACCCCGACCCCCCTCCGGGTCCCGCCTCCGTTTCGCCGTCTCGCACCCCGGCGTCTCTTCTCTCCGGGCTTGCTGTGCCAGCGGAGGACGCCACTTGCTCAGGGTGGGCAGCGACTGGAGGGGGTTTCGCACCGGCCCTCACCTCGCACCGCCTCTTGCTGCGACAGCCGCGGCACCAGTTCTCGCGGTCGTTCTTAAAGCGAGTCCGACACGCGGCTAGTGCGGCGGCGGCAGGCTGTGCGGCGGGCGAAGCGCCGTCGGGTCGCTCCGGCCTGCTGCTGGCAGGTCTCGGTGCCGGGGGCCCTGGTCGCCCCGGCTCCGGTGCGTCCCGTTGGCGCACAACCAGACCGAAGATGCCGGTTGGGGCTCCAAGGGTGGCATTCGTTGGGGCGGCTGTCTGTGATCCTCGTGGAGGTGGTGGTCCTCGTGGAGGCGGTGATCCTCGTGGAGGCGGTGGTCCCCTTGGACCCGTGGTAGTAGTGGCCGGGGAAGCGGGGGGGGGGGGGGCACTCTCGCCCCGCACCGCTTTTTCTGTAGGCATCCCCGGCACCACAGGTCCTTTTGCTGGGGACCAAGACGCGCCCGGCAGGTCTCGCCTCTTGGTGTGCCGCCCTCATCGTTGCCTCCCATGGAGCCCGTGTCTTCCTGCCGCCGCCGCCCTCCGATGACCGGGCTGGAGGTCGGGGCCCCTGGCGCCCCTCCCGCCGCCGCAGTCACATCGGGGGCGGCGACAGCTGTCGCCGATGGTCCGGTGGTCCATGTCCGGCGAAGGTCGCACCCCCTGTGGCTCCTGCACCCCCGGCACCACTGCGTGCGGTCCAGTAGTGATGTCCGGCATGCTCGGGGGAGCGCAGCTCTGGGGGGCAGGCTCGTCTTCTCCTGGGTTTCCCCCGTCTCGCAGGGCCTCTCGGGTCGGCCCGTGTGGACGGGGGGGCCCGCCCCCAGGCCAGCAGTTCTGGTGCTGGCCTCTGCTCCCTCGAGCGTCTCCGCCGGTGCCTGTGGTGGTGGTGGGCACGGCGATAATACCGGCGTCGGGGGTGCTTTCGCCTCAGGGGGAGGGTCCTGAGCCGGCGTCCAGTCTTCGCGCGCGGCGATGTTGTAGCCGGGGAAGGCCGGCGTCTCTTGGCTCGCGCTGAGCTTGGTTTCCTGCAGGAGGACCAGGTGCGGGCGCTCTGAGGCTAGCCTTGCTCTGAGCTCGGTGAGCCGGGGGTAGATTCCGTTGCAGTTCAACTGCATGATCCTGAGTTCCCCCGGCCCACCTTCCCGCCCGGTCTCCGGCAGGTCGCGCTGAGCTGTCTGTCGGCGCCGGCTCCCCCGGCGTGCCGCGCGCGCTGAGGCATCGGCTTCCCCCCGGCCAGTGGGGCCAGGGTTCGACTCGATGTCACCGGCTCGGAGTCGTATGAGGGCGAGGTACGCCGGTCTACCTCGCCCCCCGGCCGAAAACCCTGGTTCCGGTCCGACTGCTGTTTGGTGTTCTGTCGTGGTGGCGGCAGCTGAAGAGAGTCCGCGTTTTGGAGGCACTTCGCCCCCTCCGTCGAGGGGGGCATCGACCCCACGGGCAGGGGGCCTCCATGTCGCCATCCATGTCTCCGGCCGCTCCTCCCCTAGCAGCTCCCCGCGGCCCTCTCACCGCCATCAGCCGGTGCACGTTGGCGTCCAGTCGGGCGCGCTCACCGCCATCAGCCGGTGCACGTTGGCGTCCAGCCGCGGCCCGCTCACCGCCATCAGCCGGTGCACATTGCCGTCCCCCCCCCCCCCCGCGACCCGCTCACCGCCATCAGCCGGTGCACGTTGGCGTCCAGTCGGGCTCGCTGCTCGGCCGGCGTCGGCACGGCGGCCGACAGCAGCGCAGCGGCCATGGCCAGGTAGGGCTCCAGCTGGCAGCTGAGGTAGGCGCTGCGCAGACCCAGGGAGGCCACCTGGACGACCAGCGGCCACCAGCGCTCCGAGCGGTACAGCAGCAGCACCTTGCCCAGCAGGCTGGGGGCGTAGCGGGGGGGGGGAGGCACCGGGCGTCAGGGGGAACCCGGCCCGCCCAGACGGGATGTGGTAGACAGAATATGTTGGAGTCCTTATAAGAACAGCTAAGAAGTAGGCATACAAAAGACGGTAATGACAGAGACATTACAATCTAAGTCATCAGATGAACCTTAGCCACGGACAGTCCCTATCAAACATAACATAAACAACATTAACAACATAAACAACATTAATGCAAAAAAAAATGTTCGTCATGATCAATCATAAATGTAGAAATGATAGGAACATGTACAAGCCAAACCAGACAGTTAAATTCACGATGAAATGACTGACTTTTACAGTGGGCTTTAAACCATTCAGGCACCGAGTTAATTGATGAACGCACAGTTTAAGTTCGGTACACCAGCGGGGCCACCACACAGCCTTATCACCGTAGCGGATAAGGGACTCACATGACGGCCTTGTCGTGGTCGCCACTGAGCGCGTACTCCTCGGCCATCTGCACCATGAGGCGCTCCTTCATGCGCGGGCAGTGGTACTTTTTGAAGTGTGAGATGGCACTGCTCAGCAGCGGGATCACCAGGTTGTGGTGGTTCACCGATCGCTCGCACAGCTGGATCGCCTGGACGATAAAAAACAAAACTGTCACTTAGGTACTGCCGACTGAACCGACACAGACAACTGCAGTCGTGGAAGTAAGGCCCTATGTACCCCATGGAATGATAACGAAGCCTTAGTCATTACGGCTCTGCAATCCTCGCCGCAGCATTGCTGACCGGCCGACCGGCCCTCTCTTCACCGTCTCTTCACTGTCATCTAGCAGCGGCTCCCTCCCTCCCTCACTCACCAGCACTCCGAGCTTCTCGCGCTCGGTGTCCATCAGTTCCACGTTCCTCCCGGCAGGGCGCCACGGCCGCTGGCCGAAAAAATCTGTCTCTAGGCTGCCGGCCAGCGGGTCGGGCGACGGGTACTGCGCTCCGTCCTGTGTACAGTATCAGAGCGGGGAGGGAGGCCCGACTGGGGTCAGCTGAGGCAGCACCAAATACACGATGGATTGGATATGTCACGGTGCATACATTATCTTACTCACTGAATTGTAAAAATTCAGGATAAAGTACATTGACTTATGGCCATGTGATCTGTTTGGTGTTAACTATCTACCCTCAAATTATCCACTGATCAAATTATCTCAAATTAGCAAATCAAATTATCAAATTATTTAAAAAATCAAATTATCCCTGTCCTCTTACCCAGTGGCTAGAATTCAATGAACAGTTGTCGGCAGACCCCGGTAAGACATGGTCTGCCCATCGGACCCTCCTGAAATCGACCCACTGCGTCCACTGACCAGCGGGAGCGCGGCGGCCGTCTGGTGCCGCTTGCGTCCGTGTAGCGCCGCCTGTTCAAAGTAGAGGCCCGGGTGCTGGGTCTGGATGGCCGGCAGTCCCATCTGGATGGCCTGGTCAAACACCTCGCCGAACCACTGGTACCTGACGGACGCATCGGCAGACGATAGTCAGAGGCCCGGCTGCACTCGAGCCGGGACAGTTGTATTTCCAAAGGTTTATTTGTACTATTCGACGTTGCTAAATAACCGCTGCGCCAGCTACTCGCAGCTCCCTGTGATTCGCTACTTTTCCAGCCGTCCTCATACTCAGCCCTTCTCCATGTGAATAATCCATAAATCCCCTCCCACGACTCAGCGCTGCGCCAGTCAGCCGCATTCCCGTGAATAAGCCGCCACGCCACAGCTCCCCTCCGTGCCACGAGGTTCACTGATGTGGCTTCTCCCCGAGACACACTGTTCCACTTTCTCACTCACAGCTTCCTCCCCTCCCCGGACTCACTGTTGGGCCAGCCAGCCGCAGTGCTCCACGGCCAGCTCCTGCGGACCGACTCGCGCCCGAAACAGCTCCACGTGTCGCCGGAAGTGGGCGATGGCGTCGCGCGGCAAGTTCTGACGGAACGCCAGCCGGCACACCTTGAAACTGAGCATGGCCGCCACCACCTTCAGCTCGCACAGCGTCAGGTCCGTGGTGGGCAGTTCCAGCAGGTGCGCGTAGCCCTGCTGGTACGCCCTGGGGCGAGCGGTACAGGAGGGGGCGTCATGGTGCTGAGCCGTTGATTCGATAAATAAGTCTGAAATAATTAGGTACATAATGCAAATTAAATAAAGTGGAGATAACAAGACTTCATATTTCATGGCGAAAGCGCCTAAGTACTAGCATATAGTTAGTACGCAAAATAAGCAGGTTCCAAGTAAATTTGAAAATCGAAGTAAATTTGACGTCAATATTGACATATTGTAATGATTCGAATACAATCAGTACAAACATTACCATCATCTTGATCTACAGCCAACAGAAACTACTAGTTCAATCGTATCTTACGATACAAACGTCTCAGCACCAATTTCCCCAGGTTCTCACGCCCGCTAAAGAATCGCTCACTTGTAGGCGGCGGCCATGTCCTGCCGCACCTCGCAGAAGAAGCCCAGTTTGAACTGGTGGCGCACGAACAGCGCCTGGTGGTGGCTCTTGCTGAGAAGCTCGCGGTGCGCGCGGATCGCCTTCACGCGCTGGTGGTAGTACGTCTGCGCCAGCTCGTAGAAGGCGCTCTCCAGCCTGACAACAGGGACGGGGGGAGTGCTGGGGCGCTGCAGGGAACGTGCGGTAACGGTAACTGGCGACATGACGACAGTGAGCCGCGGCAGAACGACGGTAGTGCGGTCCGGTAACCCGCATAATTCGAGAGGACGTCAGTCACCGGTATAGCCTTAGCCAGCGCGCTCAGCGGTCACCCCTGGTGTAATGACTCGGCACTGACTCACCTCATGGCGCACTGACACGGTACGACTCGGCAGTCGGTGCTGGCACACCTCATGGCGTACCGACTCGGTACTACCGACTCACCTCATGGCGTACTGACTCGGTGCTTTTGACTCACCTCATGGCATACCGATTCGGTGCTTTCGACTCACCTCATGGCATACCGACTCGTTACTACCGACTCACCTCATGGCGTACTGGCTCAGGTGATCAGTGATGGGTAGCACCCAGAGGGACTTGGGGGGCAGGTCACAGGCGGCGCACAGGTCGGCGGCCCGCTCAGCCGCCTGCGGGTCGTCACCGGCCGCCGCCCGCTGCACCAGCACCACCGCCAGCCGCGTCTGCTGGGTCGTCAGCGCCGCCCTGTCGGCCAAACACCAAACTGAGCCCACTGCCCACTGACAAACACATGGCTGAGGTAATGTCTATTGTGCTGTATGCATGAAAGGCATTTTTAATGATGTAAAAGGATGAATTACCTGATGGCTTTGACACGCGACGAACATCCGATTTTCTTCTCATTCCAGGCAGGGTCGCCCCAGTCCAGGTCGAAAAAGATGATCACTACTGCAGGAAGATCATAGAGGTGCTTCTTCATCCACTTTCGTTTCAAAATGCCCTTGGGTAGAAACCACTCATATGTTGTCCTCTGAAAGAAAGAAGAAGACATAGATTACAAAGGAACACCAAAACAGGAGGAAATGCAAACCAAAAAGTGCAACACCAAAACACAAAAACAAGCAGCAAGGAGTCCAATTTCTGCCTAGGCTTAGCTGCCCATATTCAGAAAAAGTGTTAACTTGATGTTGTCCATGGGCGCCGCCACCGGGGGGACGGGGGGGACGCGTCCCCCCCACTCGCAGAATGGAAGGGGGACGTCCCCCCCAAACTCATTACGGAGCGAGTGAAGCGAGCGTAGTCTTTCGTAGGTTAACGGAATTTCTGAGTATGCCGTTGTCACGCTTTTGCTAGGCTTATATCTCAGCAACCACTTGAACGATTTACATGCGGTAATTTTTGTAGGGTAGCACTAGATTCATTCCTTCTAACGAGCATCGGACTATTCCAGATGCATGTGAGTGACCCCATAGGTATGCACGTTCCACATGAAAAACGAAGAGGTGTCAGTTTTGTAACAATTTCAATACCTCGGCAACTACTGGGCCGATTGCGCTGAAAGTTAGCATGTAGGTAGGTATACCCACTAGGCAATGCATATCCGTGTGCCACAGTTGGGGTGTTGCTGCACGTGCACGTGCATGGACCATGGTGCCGCTTCCAGATCTCGAGAACGGCTAGGCCGATTGCGCTCAAATTTGGCACATCGTTAGGGACCGGTTAGAAGGGTGCAGTGCACAAGTTAGTTGGAGGTATCCCCTCGCAATTTCGCACGTGCAAGGCCCACCCCACCCTCTCGCTCGCTCCGTTGGTTGCCCCAAAAGGCGTTTTACTGGTTGTTATCCTACTCGAAATTTGATTAGGCCCTTCGGTCCAATAGAGCCGCGTATGAAAGAATTAGTGGGAGACATTGGTCGGGGCAGCCACCCCAGTGAGCCACTTGGGATGAACCCGACCAATTGAACAGGCAGCCCAGCCCACTGGCACTCACTGCACCCCGCAAAGGACTATAGCTCCAGTGGAGCCATTCCCGCATGGGATAGAGTTGCCCGTCCAGCCCGGAGCAGGGGGTTACGGCGTAGAGTAGAAGGATTTGACTGTCCTGAGGATGGAAGAGATGGAACGGCCGGTGCCGAATCTGAGAGGGCCCAGGAGGTTTAAATACTCAGTATATGGGGTGTCGGCTTGCATGCATTGGCCTGACCCCTGCCACCTCGGCCAACAAAATCTCCAGCTCCCGACCTGTCATCGCGGAACTGCCGATTTTTGATATCGTGATCAACGTGTGTCGTATAACACGACTGACCGAACACGGGCCTAATATATTTCTTCTAACCAGCCAAGAGCATGACTATACACCAATCCGACCTCGAAGTCAAAATCCGAACATTTTCGAATACTTCAACTCCGACTCTGGCTAAAACTGGCCAAAACAGTCAACTCCGAAGTCCGACTGATTCCGGCTCCGAGTTCCGACCCCACACTTCTGCAGTCACGCTACACTAAATTTCCAGCTTCTAAGAAATAAGCTATACGGTTGACAGGTCACAGGACCACAAAACTTTGAGGCGACTTGACTACTTGACTTGGTTTTCCTGACCTAAGGTTTTCTGGTATCAAGCTTGTTACATAAGCTGCAAAATTCCTATTTTGGAGCAGTTTTGCCTAATGTTTTTTTGCCAATTTTCGCGGCGCTTCGCGCCGATTCGTGCACAAATCAAAAAGAGAGATTTGTGACTATATAACGCCCCCTCCCCCACGCGGGTATGCAATATGCATTACCTATGCAATATGCATTATCGATCATCTTAGTGGCATACATCAGCAATTATACCGTGATAGAACACGAGGCTTTGCCGTGTCAAACTGAATCAGACATCAGATGCGTATATAGGTAGGTACTCGGTCGGAGTGCGGTCTATAGCCATTACTTTAAGGAAATACCTAAAAACCTAAACTACTTTCCTCAAACCAGTTGTTTTGTCACAGTTTTAGTCTTTAAACTTAAAATGGTCAGGAAATAATGAATATTTGCAAAAGGGTTTTATATTGATTTTTACATCACTATTTTCCATCTTTCGTAAAGGCTACTTACCTATATTGCAGCGGAAGCTGATTATGCGTTGACCAAGCATAGTACGTACTACGTAATTCAAACCAGCTGAATGCTGATTGGCTAGCATTTTTCCGTAAGGGAATGGATTCCTCGGTAAGAGAATGACAAAGTTTTATCTATGGGAATGACTTCAGTCTTCAAACCTAAAATCGATACCGATATATTTGGCTAGGGTGATCGTTGGGCCATAAAAACTCCTGATTTATTCTCGTCTCAGCTCAAGCTACAAAACTGTTACTTTAGTTCAAAACCCTATGTTTAAAGTGGCATATTTGCTTTAAACGTTGAATGCATCCGACCGAAAAAGCCACGGTAAGAATGTACCACGGTACCACGGTAAGAATGTATGTATACTTTTGGGTTTTCAGTCGGTCAGTCCGTCCCCCCCTGTCAAAAATCCGTGGCGGCGCCCCTGATGTTGTCATCAGTCATAACTTGATGAATTTTGTACCTAGCATAAAAAATAAATATATATTGACATAGGTGATAAAAACTGCAGTAGAACAGGCATTCACATCCAACTGCAATGAAAATCTGCACAGGCCACTCACTCACCTTTGGCTTTGCAGGTGGAAATTCCCTGTCACCAGCTATGATAGAGTAGTGGATACCATGAGTGTCCACCTTTCTACTAGAAGTGAATGCATCCACAATGGTTTTATGCGTTTCAACATTCTTTGGATCCAATCCAACAAAACCCACATTCACTTGAGGCACCTGCTTCAGTTCCTCAGGCAAATCAAGACTGCTCAGATAAGCATCAACCTTCTCTTGTGGAACTGCCATCCTAAGATTTCAGTGTTTAACTCTGCAAAAAGAATCAAGGGTAATAAAGTGCTAAATTCAACATAAATTGTATATAGATAGTGGAAGGAGTAAGTACCAAGTGCACATAGAACAACAGTTAATTGAACAAATTCAAGACAACATCAATTTGTCTTAAAATCATGAATCTTCAGATGACAATACAAAAAAGCAGGCTGTGTGGAAAAAAACTTGAGATGTGAAAACTGGAGTCGACTATAAAGTATTGATGATATTAGAACCAGGTTTTCACATCTAGGACCTGATACATTATCTTGGTGATTGTATGTGTGTACAAAGAGAATAACTGGATGCTGCCTGCATCATGCATGCCCCTATTGCTGTATCCCCAATTCACCACAAAAGCACCTTCTAGTGGCCAGAGTTGAGAGGGCCACCCCAGCTGCACTACTGGACACTGGTCCCATGAACAAGCTGAAAGAAATGTCAGTGGTAATGCAAAAGACCAGCTTAAGCCCAGCTCTAATGTCCTATTTGTGATTTGTAAATCTGCTATATGCTATTTGTTTGGATGCTGTACCAAAATTTTGCCACAATCACAAGTAATGCTAGCCTTGTCGACAGTAACATGGATTTTTTTCCAGTCTGGACAAAAATGACCGAAAAAGTAATAAGCCTGTCTCAGTAAATGTTGCAATAAATGATACCAAGCTCAAATTGAAATGAAGACAGCATTCAAATTTCAATTTCCAAAATAAAATATCAAATCATGATATGAGAAATATGGACTTCACTGAAAACTGGAGGAGACTGAAAGCATTTCAATAAGATTTTGATTCAAGTTATAACCAATTGAAATAATTTATGTGAAAAGGATTACCATTCAGCGCATTCCCATACCACTTGACACTAATTACCCTTTTTATTTTCTTTATTTTTTTCCACACCGAGCACCGAGCAGTGATGACTGTCGCAGGTGCGTCACATATCTGATTTCAAGTCCTTGTGTTCAAGTGTAAGCGAATTTCGAAAATTGACCACACAACTTGCAGATTTACCGAAAGTAACTGCTCGTGAACAGTAAAAGCTTAAAAGTTGAACATAATCGCAACAAGACACGTGAAAAGCAACACATGTGTGTGCTGCTGGGTGGTTTAATTATTTGTTGCCGTTTTTATTAATTTTTACTGATTTTCCCTTGTGATCTGTTGATTATAGTAATATAACAGTGACTTGAGACACCTCAAAGCTATATAACACGGTATGTGCTCTGACCGGTGCTTTCCATATTAGTTGGATTCCTTTTACCTTCGTCACCCGCAGCAGGGGTTCCTGGCTTGAAGGTACGCAATTTTGTCCTAAATTGCAACAAAATTGCTCATCATGGACAATGTTTGTTTTGTCCCATGTGCTACATGGATCAAGAGAGGTATATGCAAACAAAAGCCAGACAAAGTTGAACTCACAAAGGAGGATCTAGCACAAATAATTGAAGAAACACGAGGGAAGCTCAAGGATGTGCAGATGGAGCAGAACATGGATGATGGTGATGAAGATGGTGATGAGGATGGAGGAAATGATGCTAATGAAGAAGTCCAAGACACAGTCAAGACACAAGGTGGTGATGTGTATGACATGGAACACTATGATGATGAGGAAGATGAAGGTGACCAAAATGTTCTGGCTCTTGGACAGATGGCAGAGTTTGCCAGCAATACTGATGACCCATATGTGACACAGGCAGATGCTGATGGATCAGATAGTGAAGCTGAAGACCTTGAGGTGAAGCCTGATGAAAACCTCATTGTAACAGGCCTAGTTGATGGGGATGCTAGCACACTTGTGTTTCATGTTTTCAATGAAGATGAGGGTTCCATGTATGTTCATCATGACATCCTGCTGTCATCATTTCCAATCTGTGTAGAGTGGCTTAACTATGATCCAGAACAGGCAACCCCAGGCAACTTGGTGGCAGTGGGCTCCATGTCACCAGTCATTGAAGTCTGGGACGTGGATGTCATCAATTGCTTTGAGCCAGCCTTTAAACTGGGGAAGAAGGGTAAAAAGAAGAGCAAACTGGGCCTGGGACACACTGACGCTGTGCTCAGCCTGGCCTGGAACCGACACGTGGGCCATGTGATGGCCAGTGGCTCTGCAGACCACTCGGTGCTGCTGTGGGACCTGGAGACCCGGAAGAAGGCCTCCGCGCTGCAGTGCAAGGAGAAGGTGCAGACGGTGAGCTGGCACCCAGCCGAGATGGACCGGCTGCTGTCCGCCGACTGCGCCGGCGACCTGCGCGTCTGGGAGTGCCGCTCCGAGCAGAGCAAACGCTGGCGGCTCTCCGGCGAGGTGGAGTGCGCCGCCTGGGACCACTTTAGCCCGACCGGCGCGCTCGCCTGCACCGACGACGGCCAGCTGCACTACGTCGACACGCGCGCCGACAAGAAGCCGCTGTGGAGCGTGCAGGCGCACGAGGACTCGTGCTCGTGCCTGGCGCTGAGTCCCGAGGTGCCCGGCTGTCTGGTCACGGTGTCAGCCGATAAGACGCTGAAGGTTTGGGACGTGTCGTCGGGCCGGCCGCCGGCGCCGGTCGTCTCGCGGCCGATGAAGCTGGGCGCGCTGCACTGCGTCGCCTTCTGCCCCGACCTGCCGTGGATGCTCTGCGTCGGCGGCGACAACAAGGAGAACTCGTTCCAGCTGTGGGACGTGCGTCAGAGCGCCGAGGTGCGCCAGCAGTTCGGCGGCCGGCCGCTGCGCCGCGTGCTACCCGAGCCCGACGAGGGCCTGCCGGCCGCCGACGGCCCCGGCGCGGTCACAGCGGCCATGGAGACCGACTCGACCGTCGAACAGCTCAGCGGGATGAGCCTGTCGGCCTCGGCCGGGCCCAGCGGCGCCGGGCCGCTCCGCACCGCCGCCGGAAAGAAGCTCAAGAAGCGCCACAAAGCCAGGGGCGCCGGCAAGTAGCCACGGCGGCGAGCGGGACGCGGGGTCCGGCGTCGAGTGCAGTGTCTGTTGGCTGACCTGGTGATAAATACAACTACTATTGCGCCGTGTTACAGGGAGGTGTTTGAAGGTATGCTGAGAACACAGCCCACAGGTTCGACAGTCCGCCTTCCGGCAGTTCCCAAGCGTTCGTGAGTTGAACCTGTCAATAATTCGTCTTTGGTCACTCATCAGTCCCCCATGACGACACACAGCGTTCTCTGATAAGTTTTATTTGTTCCTTCACCAGAACGTACACAGTACATATTGTGAAAGCTATCATGTTATAAGCAAACAAGCACGATGAAAATGGCGCTTCGGACGATGCACACGCGCGCCCGATCACTGTATGAGCTCTATGCATCGTTCTTGACTGAATAGTACGGATAGACCCGGAAGAGTGAGACGCGTGGCGTGACTTTCGACTAACTGCGACCAACGAAAGGTGCTACATGTTACATCCGCTTAGTCGACAGGCTTTAGTGCTGGCATGTTTAGTACCTAAAAGCAATTAATAGCCGATTAAATTACTCTATCCGTCGACACTCATGTCGCGGCTTTGTGTTCTATCCGTCGGTGTCCTTTTGTGCAGTAAAATCATAAACGTTTCAGGTGGTATCGCAGTCGATCTTGGGTCGGGTCGCCAGCTGGACCGGCTCGGGTCAGCCGTGTTTGGGGGGGGGGGGGGGGGGGGGGGGCGGAGTGGCCCCGCGGGGACAGCAGCCTGGGGGGGGGAGGGGCGGAGTGGCCGCTCATCACAGACGGGAGGACCGTCACGGCCGCGCTACGGCGCCGGGTTGCGGAACTTGGCCAGCCGGCGCCGGTACTCCTCGATCTCGGCGGCATCGGCCACCGGCTGCTGGGGGCTGCCTCCCACACCGGCTGACGGGCCCTGCCGGCGGAACAGAGAGACACGTCAGTGCCTCAGTTCATCACTGCGCGCAGGCACGCTCAGCAGTACCTAATTCAGCTAGAATTATTGTTATATTTATGACACGGGATTTAAAAGAAAACATTCGTTTTTTTTTTGAAGCCATGAAATTGATCTAAATCAGTCGACAATTTAACCGTCAACACGTCGAGAATACGCACCCGTGACGTATCGCGCACCAGTCCCTTGACAGGGACACTGGACACCCAAATTACGGTCGTTCGCAGCCCGGACGGAGGGGCCCTCCCCTCAGACCCGCCCCTGCACCCTGCCCGTGCCGTACCGTGGCCCTGGGCGGTGTGGACGTCTGGTGATGCTGCGAGGTCGGCCGGCGCGGCGCCTCCGCCCCGGAGCGCCACGACGCCTGCAGCTGGTCCAGGTCGCGGATCAGGTGCTGGTGCTCGGGCCAGTGGCGCAGCAGCTCGCGGAACCGGTCAATGTGCACGTCCGGCCGCCGCTCGTCGCTGGGGTCCTTTGGCAGCGGCGGCAGCTCCGCCAGCAGGCCTGAGGGGACGCCGGACCGGGCGGTCAATATGGGGTCCTTCGGCAGCGGCGGCAGCTCCGCCAGCAGGCCTGAGGGGACGCCGGGCCGGGCGGTCAATATGGGGTCCTTTGGCAGCGGCGGCAGCTCCGCTAGCAGGCCTGAGGGGACGCCGGACCGGGCGGTCAATGTATGCCGTATGGCCCTGGTCAGGCGGAACAACCTCTCCAGCAGACCCCTGGGGGACGTCGGGCCATGATTCATCCAGTGATGGGTAATATTGATGCAGCGGTCAATTCATGCAGCAGCCTGAGCAGCCTGCAGCGACTGTGTAAAAAGTGTTACATAATCGCGACAATGTAACTGGGAAAACTGCAGACAGTGGGTTTGAACTGTTTCAGTAACAAAATGCGATGATTAGGGTATCCTAGAATAACGACGAGCACTGGCGGATCCAGGGGGTGGGGCATTGGGCAGAAGCCCTTCCCCCCGAATCGCACGAAATCGACGTAATTTTGCGTTTTTCGAGAATAAAACCAAAACTAAAGTTTTATTAGAAAACGTTCGCTTTTAACTGCACAGCAGTGCGTGACAAATCGAAATCCGCTGAGTTTTTTTAAGTTGAATAAACTTTCAGGGGTATCCCCCCCCCCGCAGCGTCCCAGACCGCCTTTCTGGATCCGCCAGTGACGGTGAATATTAACAGATGAAACCTACAGATAACTTTTATCAATCCTCACAAACCTAGCCGCAGGTTACAGTTACCTATCAACACCACCTTCAACCCACCACATCACCCCATCGTCACCGCCACACACCCGGCCTCAGTCCTCTGCCCCTCGCGCCAGCCACTTACGCTCTGCGTCCTTCCTCATCCTGAGCTGCTCCTGGCGCCAGGTACGGTCGCGGTCGGAGGCGGAGGCCGCCGCGCCGGCCGTCTGCTGACCACTGCGCAGCCGCTGCGCCTCGATACCCTTCAGACCGCGCTCCACGTAGTTCTGGAAGAACTGCGACGACTTGCTGAGGAAGGCCTGGATGTCGGCGTCCGGGTTCTGCAGTCGGAAGTCGTACAGCTGAACCAGGCCCTGGAGACACACGGGGCCGGTGTGAGTGAGAGTGGACGGTGGTAGGGGTCATGTTTAACTGGGATGTGGCCAAGAGAAGAGCGGCAGAACGGCCCTCACCACCAGCACCTACTCTCTCTTTACAGCTAACCCTACTTGATGATCACCGCCTTCAGCTTCCATCCCATCCACGTACCTCTTTGGTGTTCTCTTTAGTCCCGATCTTCTTGAAGATCTCTGACAGCTGATCGTAGGTGGACTTGGAGAACTTGCCGCCGGCCGGCGAGGGTGAGGCCGAGGCGCCGGCGCCGGGCTGCCGGGCGTCCTCGGTCAGTTTGAGCGTGGCCTCGCCGCCGGTGGTGGTGAGCACCTTCATCAGGTAGGCCCACAGCTCGGTCTTGTCGGCGTTCTCGATCAGGCCGACGAAGGTGAGCACCTGGTAGCCGAATATGGAGGCGAGCGAGTGCAGCACCGTCTTCACGGTGCGCAGCGGCGTGTCGGAAGCCATCGTCTTCCACCAGCTGGACGGGTGCGCCTGCGGACACAGCGCCGGAGTCACAGCGACTAGACGGATACACGGCAGCGGGCAGCGAACGGGCGCAGTGTCTACTTTTTATCGGGAACGACGAAACGTAATAAATTACATGCAAGTCTCACTTTGACGTCCTAACTAAAAGCCCATCATATCTAATCACATATTCAACTCTGCTCCAATGAGAAGGCCTCGGCCCTTTTCCATAGCAAATCTATTTCACGTGATTAACCAATCTACGCGACTGTCCTTACCTCAAGAAACCTGTGGATTTCGAGCATAATCTCGTGGAAATCGAGCTGCGACAGCCATTCGGGTAGCAGACGGACTACCTTCCAGATGCATTTCATGAGCAGCTCCTGGTAGGGTGAGCCGGCCGCTCCGGACGAGACCGAGGCCCGCAGCATCGCCACCAGGGCGCTGACAGGGCACACAAATACACGTCACTGCCAAACATCATAGACATCGCGAAGGCGCGGCTGACGGGGCACACAAATACACGTCACTGCCCAACGTCATAGACATCGCGAGGGTGCAGCTGACGGGGCACACAAATACACGTCACTGCCAAACGTCATAGACATCGCGAGGGTGCAGCTGACGGGGCACACAAATAGGTACACGTCAGTGCCATTCGTCATAGAGACATCGCGAATGGACGCCAAAGTCGAAACGAGAAAACGATGCACTCATTACCGGTGCGAGCGACTTTAGCGAGTGTCATTTGAGCGAACGTCATTTGAGCGAACCATTTTCAGCGAATGGCAATTCAGCGATTATCAAGTTCAGCGATTATCAAATATAGCGATTATCAATTTTAGCGAAAGCTATGTTTCAGCGACATCTATTTCGTCGACTACAATTTGAGCGACTGCCAGTTCAGCGAAACACTTCATCGTCCTGTAACGTTCTTTTTTTGCGAGCGCATACGCGCGAATGTTTTCGGAATATCTCATGGTTATCCGGAACTGGATGGCGAATGTCACGTCCAAAGACCTCAGACATTGAGCTCCAAATGTAATGCTACATTTCCAAATAATTCCAACGGTTCAATTTCACCCCCTGCTCTTTATAGAATTCAACAAATAGAATAGTTATATTAAGTTTTGTCCAGACGGTACCTACTCATAGGCGGCGGAACGAAGGGGGGTACCGGGGCACCGTGCCCCCCCTTGATTTTGGCATTTTAACATTAGCCCTATGGGCGTTGCATGGAAAGGATGGGACCAAAAGTCGGCGGTGCCCCCCTTAATTGAAGGTGTTCCGCCGCTACTGAACGGTAGCCAATCCATTGTATTTAATTGTCTTTACCTCTGGTGGATTACAAACTGTTAGGTGTTATCATGACGTATGATATACATTATACATACAACCTTTGACCTTGAACTTTTGAGGTCAACATATATATCTTTCGATGCGGATTGACGAGAGGATCACGATGATGCCCTTAGTTTGTTCCTATCTTGACGAATTCGAAAATTATTCGAGAAAAACTCGCCATATCTTGCGCCACCATTTTGACTTTTTTGACCCCTGTGACGTCATCTTTGACCTGACCTGAAAATGACCCTTGTAAAAATTGTAGACCTTATGCGTGCGTATCCGATGCTGTTTACCGCTTGTCGCTATCTTGCTTTGTTCTCGAGATCTCTCTGTAAAACAAAAATTTAAAAACGAAACGTTGCAAGATCAATGAATAAACGTTGCGACATGTCGAGGCCTGATATTTTTGTGGTTTCAGGTTTCCAACAAGATTACTAGAACAAGATAACAGATTTTCAAGCTTTAAAACAATTTTTTTCATTTTGTCGCGCGCAGCTTGAAGCATAACACAAACCAAACGGGTATTCAAAGGGCAAGAATTTCCGAAAAGTAGAAATGATTGACTTTCGTCGCGTTCGGTTTCGCTGTAACTGTATTCGCTCAATTGGTCTCCCATTGACCACCATATATTCGCTCAATCTGGTTTCACTGATTCTGGTCCTCGCTAAAGTTAATAGTCGCTGTGATTGAATTCGCCGACTTGACAATCGCTGAAAAAGTCAGTCGCTTAAATTGATAATCGCTGAAAATGTTTCGCTCAAATGTCGTTCGCTGAAATGACGCTCGCTCAGGTGTCGCAGAACCACTCATTACAGCTATGTAATAATAAATACCTTTTAAATTCTTCAAATAGCTGCTGGCCGCTGTCAAAGTCAACGGAGGCTAAGCTAAATACTTAATAAATACTACTAGCGCAAACCAGCAGCAGCTTCTCTGATATTCTCCATCCGAATACACAGCCATTTCGCCGGCACCGTCAAAACACGTCCGTGTCTCGTGACCCACCGCGCCGCCGCCGCCGGAGCTGCGCGGACCCGCGGCCACTCACCAGACCAGGTTGGTATGGTTGGCCTTCTCCACCAGCCGCACAGTCAGCTTGTTGACTGCGGCCAGAATAGCGGCGCCCTCGCCCTGCTTGGAGAGCTTCGGGCACGTGATGATCTCCAGGGAGGCGGCCACCAGCTGCTGCAGCGCCTCGTGCGAACACTTGTCCGCCAGCGACGGGTAGTGCAGAAGCTGCGGCGGAGCGCCCGTCAGGAAAAGACACTAGACTCCCACTTCCCAGTCTAAACTGATACGTACTCGTCTCCGCTCAGATCTTTCATCGATAAACCAGCTCACGCAACACTATAAAAACAGAACGAAATTTTTGTGAGAGGTCTTTCTTGAATTTCCAGGACAAAAGCAATGCTGCCGTGCAAAGGCAAAAGCTACTGTGAGGTCACATTCTGACCTCACATAGTAGTTTTGCCTTTGCACGGCAGCATGGATGATGCACATTAAAAATGGCGAAAAGATTACTGGAGTCCGACAGAAAGTCTGTGGGCTACATTTAAAAAATCAAAAATCAAACTATCGACGACTCCGTCCCAACAGTCGGCGGCAGTGTTGAGCCGCGGCGCGCTGCGTTCGTGTACCGTGGTGAGCAGCGTCGACACCTCGCGCGCCAGCGCCGCCGTCGGCTTCTCGTCGGCCTCGACGGCGGCCAGCAGGCGCCGGTACTGCACCGTGGACGCCTCCAGGATCCGGCCCGTGTGGTCGGCCAGCACGTCGTGCTCGTTTGACTTGAGCACGGTCATCAGACGCTCCAGCCTGACGGTCAACGGGGGGGGGGGGGGGGTAATCATAAGACGCTCCAGGCTGACGGTCACGGATGGGGTCACCAGACGCTCCAGCCTGACGGTCACGGGGGGGGGGGGTCATCAGACGCTCCAGCCTGACGGTCACGTGTCCGAACAGGCGGTCGAGAAAGGCATATTGGTAGCTAGATAACAGAAAAGGACTGCACATATAATCATATGCCTCGTAGCTAGTGAATCAGTGAAATTAAACATCAAAATTACGGAATCACGGTATATGTGACTGGTTAAAACTAAGTAAAAACTTGCTAGGCATCGCTGTCAGATATAATAAGAGATCACTGCCCCTGCCGGACAGTGGTGAGTCCCCCCTCCCCCCCCCCCCCCCCCCCCCCCCACCTACCCCTGTCGGACGGTGACTCCCCCTCCCCTCTACCCACCCTCGTCGGACGGTGGCCGGGGTCAGAGTCAGGGTACTGCGACCTCTCCCCTCTACCTACCCTCGTCGGACGGTGACCGGGGTCAGAGTAGTACCAAACCTGACCTCTCCCCTCTACCTACCCTCGTCGGACGGTGGCCGGGGTCAGAGTCAGAGTACTGTGACCTCTCCCCTCTACCTACCCTCGTCGGACGGTGGCCGGGTCGGGATCAGCCACCTGGCCCACCCACTGCTCCAGTTCGGCCGTGTGGTAAGCAGACTGGGAGTTGGGCTTGGTCCAGCTGTGTCTGAAACAACACCGACAGAGTCCCAGTTAGGTGGCTGGCTGACGGCGCTTCACAGCGAAATAAAGTGGAATGGTGAGACGCATTATAGCATCCTAACATCCTTCCTTTATCTAAAATGGCACGGTTGTCGCTTATTTGATTAGGTATGGCGACCTACTGTAGTACTGTAGGTAAGAATATAAATGCAATCGAATGGATTGAAATGAATTATCTTCATCCGTGCGTCACTATAAATACAGAAGCATGACGCTAGTCCATCGTCCCCACCGCCTTTCACGCAGCCCACAAACCACACCCCAGCGCTCCCTTCCAACACCGCTCTCACTTGAATGTGGGCGTGACGAGCGGCGGCTCGTTGATGATGGCGTCCATTTCGCGCCACACCTGACGCCAGTGCAGCTCAAACTCCTCCATATCGGCGGCCGCCGTGCGCGGGTACTGGCTCATCAGACGCTCGCAGTACTCAGTGATCTCGTTGCGCGGACGCGGTGGAGCCGGCGGCTCGTCCGGCTCGGCAGGCGGTGGCGCCGTCGGCAGACCGGAGCGGGGCCTGCGGCGGCGCGCCGGGCGAGCGGTGTCAGCGGGGCTGGCAGTATACGGCTGTCTAATCGATGACAGACGTGGACATTTATAAATTCTACCAACTATCCCATCGAGAGCAGCTCCAACCAATGGTATAAGGCAAGATAATTATTAATTAGCTTTAATAATGCAAAATTAAATACCAAAACCGACAGTTGTCTGGTACAACTTATGCCATCACAGGGCTTTTTCTCACTTATTCACTACTTTCTAGCACTATCACCGTGCACGGGTCTATTTCACACAGACACTGACACAGCACTAATCCGTCTTCACTGAGCCGTTTCACATGAACATTACGGATCACGGAGATGGAGGGGGTACGCGCGGCGGCATTCTGTAGCCCGGTGAAGAGAAAACAGGCGAGCGGCAACGAATTACGTCAAAATGTCAAAATAACAACATATAAAACCAAAATGCCACAAGCATGTAACACTATAGTTTGTCAGTTGAAATACACACGTTAGGACATCTAACCTAAAATATGTTCTAACGTTGGTCTATGGATGTATACTGGGAATCTGTAACGAATAACCTGTTAACTTTAAATGAAATGTTGCTCTGTATGTCGGTGGGATGGACGACATGTACGAGTATCTAATGGGTCCAAACTCAGTCTACGGGGAGACACCCTCTCAGTCAGTCTATCTCTCGAACTGAGCTGCCACAGATTACGCAGCGGTACGCCACCAGAGGGGAGTGTGGGGAGCACACAGGGACACACGGCACAGCACACCCGGCCGGGCCGGGTCACGCGGCAGACGTGCCCGTGGCGCCACCCTTCGTCGGCCAACTGGCGCCACTCGCGCTCGGCCTCGTCCAGTAGGTCCTCGACACTGCCCAGGTGCCGTCGGCGCAGCGGCGGCGGCGGCGGCGGCGGCGGCGGCGGCGGTGGCGGCGGCGCGGCCACCACGTACCGCGCGTCACCGGCGCCGGCGGCCGGCGGCCGGGCGGCGCGCGGCGCAGGCACGTACCGGGCGCCGCCGCTGGCAGGGGGCGGAGAGGAGGCGGGCGAAGGATGGCGCGGGATCAGGTGCAGTCGGCGCCGCGGGCTCGGCAGCACCGAGTAGCTCGAGTTGCGGCTCAGGGACCTGCCGCCGGCGCACACACGGCCCGCCGTCAGACCGGCGCCGACACCAACCGCCAACGGAGACACAAACATAGCCCAGGGGGCAGCTGGCGCGCTCAAGTGTGTATACTACTTTGGCAGAACGTGAATAACTTGATATTCGAGCACGATTTACCAAGTGTGCTTCGTTGAGATTGTAGAAAAACATTGATGGCAGACATCATTATTGAAAAATTGCAGACAGTACCGCCAAGGTGTCATTAGACGAGCAGTTTTTCCACAAAGAGTTTTAGGAGAGCAAGAGGCATCAGACACATGTTTGAGACCTGAAAACTGGAATGTTGCATACATTGCATTTTGCACGGCTGAAAAACACGGGTCAGATCAAGTACTTCCATATTCGCCAACCACAGCACTGAGGATATGTCATAAAATATACGACCGTCTAACTAGTTATTCTGTTCGCGAGAGCTCCTCACTCAGACACACCGCCCCTCATCCTAGTCTTAACCCTGTGAAACGCAGAGTGCGAGCTAGCCCTGGGAGATAAGAGAACCAACCAGCGCACTGCCGCCACACCTCGGTCAGACCTGCACTCAGCACGGAAACCAAGACAGCAGCACGGCGACCGGGAGTACGACACGCGGACCCATAGGACGTGCCCGTGGCGGCGCAGGCTCCTGGCAGCGCAGGCTCCTGCGGTCCCCCAGACCCCCGTACCTGGGCGGCGCCGGCTCCTGCGGAACCCCGTACCTGGGCGGCGCCGGCTCCTGCTCCTGGTGACTGGGCTCCACGCACGAGCGGGGCCGCTCGGCGGCCGGCGGCGGCGGTGCGGCGCGAGGCGGGGCGCGCTTGATGCGCTCCTCCAGCAGCGAGAGGTCCTTGTCGGAGATCTGCCGGCACACAGCCCGACAGTGAGCCAGTCAGAGGCCAGTCAGATACAATGCAGCGCCGCACACAGCTCGAAAGCCATGGCTGACTGAACTAGGATGATCTGATTGAACGGTGACGAGACAGCGATTACAGTCAACTCAATCAGCGATTCAAAACTTTACCAAGATTCGCCAACCCATCGCCGTATCCGCCGTAACAACCCTATTCACTTACATTTCCGATCAGTTTGTAGAGCTTGTCTCCGGTGTTGTAGTGAGCCTGTACGAGAGCGTTGAGCGCGGCCTTGCGCACCGCGTTGTCCCTGTCGCCGATCTGCCTGGCCACCTCCTTCAGGGCGGCACCCGCCGACGGCTGACACACTCCCAGTGCGAACGTCTCGATCATGTAGCCCACCTCGTCAAGACACTCTGAGAGAGCGCGGAGAGAAAGCACGGACGCGGGCCGTCAGTGGCGGCAGAGGGAGAGAGTTTATCACATACGAGAGCGTGGGATTCAGCTCGCTGTCAGGGCAGATCGGCCGAGTGTGAATCTAAGCAGCAGAAAATGGTTCAACATACCTACCAATCGCAGAGTGACTGTGGAAATCAGCAAATGCTTTGCCAGCTAGATAAGCGATCATGGATCAATTGGTGTACGAAAAGTCACATGGGCTCAAGAATTTAAGTCGTCACACATAAGCCGCTCTTACAGTAGGTACAGAGCTGAGCCCATTGCGACAGGACGTTGGGGAGCAGCACAGGGACAGCGCAGGGGCAGCCAGCGGCAGCGTGTCCCACCCACCAGCCCGCAGCTGATCGGGGACTCACCGGCGCGCTGACGGCCGTTCTTCGATTTGAGTCCGTCCATGACGAACAGGAACACCTTGCTGGCCGGGTAGATTTTGTACAGCTCGCGGAATATGTTCCGCATCGACGCTCGGATTGAATCCTTGGGGTCTCCCAGCTACAGACAAACACACACAATACAGAACAGAGGGGACAGCTGTTAGACCTTCTGACACAGATAGCTGGTTTGGATACAAGTAATATTCAACACGATGTGCTAGCGCCAATGGTCACTGCCGTCTGGACCATAGAAGAGTTCTCAATCATCTTGGTTGAACCAAACAAACTCACCAACGCTTCGTGAGCGGAGTCTCTACACATCCTTGTTTCATAGTGAGTTTGTACTGACTGGCGCAATGCTAGCACCAGTCAGCGACTTCCAAACAAAACAGCGTGTTTCATGTGTTAAGGGTTTACTCGGTGTTACACAGTGAGTAGAAATAACGCAACTAAAACGCAACTAAAACAGTAAATGTGACCTGCTTAAAAAATGGCGCCTTCATATTGCTACCTATTCCGCAAGAATACATGAATGGGAAAATCACATAAATATGATAAAGGGATGATGTGAAGCTAAGCTAGAAACCATTTGATGCAATGAGCATGTCCTACGTAACACTATAATCTTAACTATCTTCCTAACTAACACCGACGGAATGCAAGAAAACATACGCTGATAATTGAGGCTCTCTGACCAGTGACCACCGACCCACGCCCATCGCCCCTGTCTGGCACACAGCTAGCGCCCTGGCTGCAGCGGCGCACGCACCTTGACAATGGCGTACGGGATGAAGGCGGTGGCCTCCTGCTCTAGCAGCCGGTACTCGTCGTCGGCCAGCCGGATGAAGATCTGGTGGAACATCTCCAGACCCTTGATGATCACCGTCGGGTTGGTGTCGAAGAAGCGCAGGGTCATCCACTTGAGCAGCAGGTCCAGGTTAGCCGAGACCGCCTCGAAGCTCGAGTCGGTGCACTGTCGGAGAGAAGAGCAGTCTGCTGATCAGAAATGGCGGCGACAGAGGACACGGAAACGTGCCACCAGCAGAACCATCACGGTGAGGAAAACGTCACAGCTATAACGTCTGTATCATGTATACATGCGTGGGAAGGACCCACGGAAGACTACACGCCTCGGTTGGCTGGACTGACACATTCCAGGCCGCTCGGAGCGGTAGATCTGCCAAAGCAGCGGGAGGCGGCCGCGGCGGAACGTACCCCAGACAGCGTGTCGATGGCCTTGATGTGCTGCTTGAAATCCGAGTGGAACATCTGCGTCATCAGCGTCTTGTTGACGCCGGCATTCGTCATCTGGTCCTTGAGCTGCTCCAGGAACTCGGCGCGGGGCTGGCTGAAGTTCCACTTCAGACACTGCGGGCGGCACCGATGGACGCAGGTTATCAGCGTGACACTGACTCGTTCCCAAACCCGAACAGAAGTGGACGTCTGCATCCTCGGTTAGCTTCAGAAAACCCATTGGAGCATACACCACAATTCCCGCAATAAGTGTGCTACCACAATTTACCTTTACTGACTATGCATCGCCAATCGCCACGCCTCAGTGCATCCATTAGTTCTCTTACAATGACGGTCTGCAAACACGATATCACATAGCATCTCTGACGATTCACAAACAAACACACACAAGACAACAGTGAGACACACCTTGAGTTTGACCTCATCCGCTACCCGCTGGCGCTTCAAGTTGTTGACCTGAAGTGGCGGCGCCAGGTCGGCATCCTCGTCCTTTGCCGACCGGGCGCTGGTCGCTCGTGAGCCCGCCTGCCGAACGCGGGGGAGGTGAGTGACACTGGAGAGGAGGGCTGAATCAACGCATAACACCTCTGCCGAGACTGGCCGAGAGCGGAGTGCGTGGTTTCTGCAGTAGCAGTTTTTAGAGTGAGCACATATTACGAATCGGTGTTTGACATAACTATATACCTAACCAACAGGAATGTAAATAAGCAGCATCTCGAGAATTCACGTAACAATAATAATCAATAACAACTAATGAACAAAAAATACACCAGATGAACGAGCACGCGTCCCCGTAAGCTGCCCGCCGCGTACCCTGGTTTTGGAGGCGGCGCGCTGCGTCTTGCCGCCGCCGCGGACAGCCTTCCCGGACGGCGGCGCGGCCGACGGCTCGTCATCCAGCAGCTCCTCCTCCGACTGGGCCGAGGCCAGGCGGGCCGGCGGCGCGCGGCCAGCCGCCGCCGCGCTCTTGGGCTTGGGCGGCGCCTTGGCCGGCACGTTTGGCCGCTCCTTGTCCAGCGCTGCCATCACCGTGGTCTTGGAGGCCGGCTGTAGGGGGGAGACGGAGGAAGGCACGGGTCAGCCCGGCGACCGGCAGGAGGGAGAAGGCAGCGGCAACGGGTTAGGAGTTTTTTTTTTGGGGGGGGGGGGGCGTGCCAGTCGAGACATGTGTACCACGAATACTGCGTCGGACACATGTTGATAAATCCCATGTTGTATCCAACCATGTAACAAGTGCTTAAATAAACACACCTGAATAATTAGCGCACAGTTGAAACGTGGTACTTTTATCTAAAAATGTTTAACAACGAAAAACTAGCCGGCATAAATGTAGTATATTATTTTGTCAGTTAACATAACTTTCAAAAGAGGGGGAAAATGACACTGAACGTCAAACTACTGATAAATTAACTGATCATGACGCTGAATATGACATCCGATCACCCACTGACGCCGATAGCAGCCCCGCCGAACGCCCCCAGTCCGCCGTGGCCAGGCCGGCGCCCACCTTGAGTTTCCCGGCGTGTCGCGCCATGGCCTCGTAGCTCAGGTGGATCATGAAGGGCAGGACGGCGTCGGCGGCGGCGCGGCGCACCTCAGCGCTGCGGTCCTCCAGCGCCGTGTACAGGTGCGGCACGCAGGCCGTCAGGTCGTCCTTGGGTAGGCCGCCAGACACTGCCGAAAGCCGGGCGGCGCGTCAGCACGGCGACTAGGATTGTCCGAGTGTGACACGAGCACAGGAGAGAGTTCTGGACGTGTTGGAAATTTAAAACGTCATTCAATGAAGACGATTAGACGGCGAGCAAGTAAGACGTACTCGAAATAGCAAGACCAATCAATTTTGCAGAAGCTATGTTGGCTGTACTATTCAATGTTATTCAACGTTATAACATTCAATCAGGGATGTAGCCCTGGCCTTGCAAATCAATGAAATTATGAAATAGAAGCTGATAAATCGCGTGTTCGAAGCCGTGTTGGACACTGCATTACTATTCAAACATACACCACCAGCCGCCGAAATAATTTATCAGTTGAATCAATTTACACCTCCTACACTACCGAGCTATCGTAAGGTTCCTAAAAAAACGAGCGCACGACAGCACGACTACCAGCACGAAGGAAGCGTGTTCGGAATATACCTGGCTCCGTCTGTCCACACAGGCGCGCCAGTCCCTCTATTCGGCGCCTCACCTTCCTTCATCTGGATGGCCAGCCAGGCGAGCAGTTCAGAGCGTGTGTTGGGCGTGCCCGCCTTGAGCGCGTCGGCCAGCATCTCTCCATCAAAGAACTCTTTGAGACTGGTCTGCTCCTTCCAGGTGGTCAGCGCGGCCAGCGCCGCCTGGCGAATGTTGGGCTGCGGGGCGAGGGACGGTAGGTGAGCGGGACGCGGGAATACCAGCCGGGAGGGTGACGGAACAGGACGTGCCGTGGAAAATACCGGTGCAGCTCAGCTACACAGTCCACAGCAGGTTGGGCTCCAAAGGGAACGTGCCCGGTTCATGTATTCATGGAACTGACTAACAGCGTGCCTAGACGTGGGGTCACTCAGCCATACAATTCACATAAAAATCAAGTGACCAATGATTTAGGCTTATGGAACACTGTCATCCACGATGCCAAGACTCAGCGATCATGATTTACAACACGCGAAGAGCGCTCACAGCATTTGGTAGTCGGTTAGCCAATGTGTTTTGGGGATAACTATGAATTACAGACGCTATAATAAAATTCATAGCAGAAATGGGAACAGGTTTCGTGCAGCTACTTCGGCAATGTTTGTCAAAAGCCTGCCGTCGTATTCATAAACATTCATCGATCATTGTGATGTTGGGAATTTAATGCTATGAGAGCTGCACCGTGAGCCCCCTTCCTCCCCGCCCAGCATTTCAACAATGAACATCCGTCCCTGAGCTGCACTCCCCTCCCCCTCCATCCTCGCCGTCCTCCGCCCGTACCTTGCTGTCTGCCAGCGCCGTCAGTAGTCCGGGAACGACCGTCTTCAGGTGGGCGCGGCAGTGCGGGCCCAGCGCGCCGCCCAGCTCGCCACAGATGCGCAGACTCTCGGCCGCCAGGTTTTTGTTGGAGTCGACGCAGCGAGCGGCCAGCGCCGAGCCGAGCTCGCCAATGTTTGCCGTGACGAATTTGGCCTGGCGCAGCAGGGCGGCCACCTTCTGCAGAGCCTCGTTACGGACCTGGCGGCGAGCGGAGAGTGGGGAGGTCAGGAGCCGGTGACTGGGGAGGGGTCAGGAGCCGGGGTCCGGGGGAAGGTCAGGAGCCCAAGGACAGGGGGAGGTCAGGAGCCGGTGGGCAGGACAGAGGTCAGGAGCCGGGGACAAGGGAGAAGCCAGGAGCCAGCGCGCAGGGCACCGGTCAGGAGCCCACGGGCAGAGTAAGCAAGAAAGCACGATTATAGCTACGGATAGGCTAGAGGAAGCAGAACAATACATTGTTAGCAAAAGTCAGTGGAAGGCAGGACATAAAAGAGACCTCTTATACCAAAATCCAGCGCGTGATGTAAGTCAATTACAACAAGCATTGAAGGAAAGCATGTATAAACGACCATAAAAATGTTGATTTAGTTAACACTGCGTCAATCCGCCCTCTGAGTTCCAGCAGTCTCAGACGAGGCGCACCGGTTCCACCGACCTTCCAGTTTTTGTCGGCCAGCTCGGTCAGCAGGGCGCCCGTGACCCGGTCGCCGATGTCCTCTCGCGGCACCAGGTCCTCGACGGGCGCGGCCGCCGCCGGCTCCCGCTCGCCAGAGTCGTCGCCGTCGGCGGCAGCGTCGACGGCGCGACGGCCGCGCGTCGGCGCCGGCGGCTGCTCGCCAGATACCTGGCAGGTGGGGGGGGGGGGGGTAACAGGGGGGTAACAGACGCCCTGGACACTGGACAAACAGGCACGAATGACAAGACCCATTGAACGTTAGGCATTGACTAACTGCGTTCCGAACAAACCCAAACTATATTCTGTGCTCAAGCAATTCAAACGTCTAAATAGTGCATTAGGTGCAGATAATTGGCCGCCAGATTTATATCTTACAGTGCATAGCAAATGACTTAAGTCAGTTTAAAAGCTTGCTTCAGCAATTCACACATAAACAAATTGAAAACCTTCCCCTATTCGTCACTATGACCGTAATCCCCCCCCCCCCACATCCCCGCGCCGTCGGCCGGTGACGCACCCGCTGGAACTCAGCGTCGATCTGCTGCAGCAGCGCCGGCTTCTCGTCCTCAAACAGCTGCCGCAGCGTTCCGCCCATGTACAGGTGCATGGTGCCCAGCAGCGCCACGGCCGCGTTCCGGATCGCCGGGTTCGTGTGCGCCAGCGCCTTGCGCACGTAGTTGACGATCGGCTTCGGCTTCAGTCTGCGGGGGAGAGGGGGGGGGGGGGGGCTCAGTGGCGGCTGTGGAGTCAACTGGACGGAGCCGGCATCCAGCCGGAGCCGATCCTGATTCCGTCTGCATGGCGACCAGGCTACCAGGCAGAAGAGCTTACGTAGGGATAGAGTAACTTACGCAAGAAGTGTAGCGTAGGGACCAATGCAAGGATTACTGCTATTACATTCTCTAAGACTCTCGAATAACTACCGCAAAATAAAAGCCCTTTCAGAGGCAGCTTACGAACAAAGTGTCAGATTGATTTTATATACACAATTAAGCAAAAAGACTCATTCATCGTAAACACTCGCGAACCGTCAGATGAGCCCTGATAATTGGCCCGAAGGAATTGCAGCTGTCCGTGCTTCCTCTACCATATGATGCACAAGCCCAGTCGGGCCGCCTCTCCACTCACGTGAAGCCGAACTCGCGGATGCTCTTGCTGAGCCAGCTGAGCGCTCCCTCCTGGACTTTGGGCGACTTGTGCGCGAAGGCCAGCTGCAGCACCTCTGAGCTGATCGTCTCCAGGGAGAGGGCCTCTGCCATGGAGGAGAGCGCTGCCGCCGCGCCGCTGCCCGTCTTCAGGTCGCCGAGCTTGTCCACCAGGTCGGAGAGGCAAAGGTCGGCCGACCGCCTGGCCACCGGACACCACGGACGGATCAACGACACGCGGCCCACAGCGGTCATGGGGATGGCATTAAGAAAAAAAGATTCTCTAAGACTCTCGAATGGCTAACGCAAAATGAAAGCCCAGTGACCTTTGTGAGCGAGGATGGCATTTGCGAATAGCCCGTACATGGCATTATCGATTTTTGTGACAGGGGGAGTTAAGTTATACGAGTTGGGGCGGAACCAAGGAAAAGATGATGACATTCAATTCATAATACGAGGCAGATTCCTTCATTGTCGTGTTTCCGCGGGAGCAGTAACACGACAATCAAACATTCCAGCTGACACACCCAGTCTGACGCAAACCACATAGAAGCAGCGATAAAGTAAAGTTATATCTATTCATTTTACGTTGCGCAGTAAACTATAAGGACTTTACAGCTCACCTGGGCAGACTACTCACCTGCTGAACTTTGTGTTTTCAGCCAGCTGCTGCACCACGTCGAACTTGAGTTTGAGCACCTGGAAGTTGTTGTCCTTGAGGCCCGGTTTGCGGCTGAGCGCCACAAGGATGGCCTGCGTGGGCAGGTCGCTGCGGCCGGACACGGTCTGCTGCAGCGTCTGCGTGGCCTCCAGGCGCGTCTTCCAGTTGGAGTCGGCCAGCTGTTTGATAATGTCCTCCGAGATGAGCTCGGCCACCAGCTGGTCGGCCTCCTCGGGGCTCAGCTCGGGCTCAGTGACCTCCGGCCGCGCGGCCGCTGCCGCAGCCGACGACGACGCTCCGCCCGCCGACTTGGTGGCCGCCTTCTTGGCCGGCGCCTTCTTTGCTGCCGGTTTGCCGGCGGCCGGCTTCTTGGCGGCGGCGGCGGCGGCGCCGCCCGATTTCACCACTTTGGGTTTGTCGGCGGCGGGCGCGGCGGCCGGCTTGGCGGCCTTGGCCGAGCCCTGGCGCACCTTCAGTTCGGCCTTCTCGCTGTACTCCTTCACCTTGGCCACCTTCAGAGGGTCCTGCTCGCCCATGAAGGCGGCCACCGACTTCTCGCCGACCACCTTCCAGGCGGTGCCGAGCGCCTCGGAGGCGGCCTCGCGCACGGCCGGATCCGAGTCGCTGAGCAGGCGCGCCAGCTCCGTCACGTACACCTTCAGCAGCTTCTTGGTGAGGATGGCAGGCGTGCAGTAGCAGAAGCAGCGCGCCAGCAGCGCCGCCGTCTCCGCCTTGATGCTGGGGTTCTTGTTGCCGAGCGCGCCGACCACGTCCTCCTGGATGGCCTCGAGCGAGGTGGCCGGGTAGATGGCGTCAGCCGCCTCGCGCAGCGCCGCCACCACCGTCGCCTTCTTCTCCTTGAACTTGTCCAGGATGGCCGACATGCACGACACGGCGTAGGGGGAGAACTGCTTGCGCAGCCCGGTGGCCAGGCCGGCCAGCGTCTGCCCGGCCAGCGCCACCAGCATCACGTTCGTGTCCTTTGTGATCACCTTTTTCAGCGCCTTGACCAGATCACCATAGTCGCCGGCGGCCAGGCGCGGGTTCTTGGCGATCAGCTCCTTGGCCGCCTCCAGCGACTGTTTGCGCTCCTGCCACTTTTTGGCCTCCAGCAGCTCGTAAAAGTCCTTGGGCAGCATCGGGAGGATGTTGACGGGCTCCATGAGGTCCAGCGGGTCGACGGCGTCCGGCTCGTCGCCGTCGTCATCCGCCTCGTCGTCGTCGTCGCCGCCCTCGGCGCGCGCCTCCATTTTGGCGCGCAGGTCCTGCTGCGAGCGCAGGAAGCGAGTCTGCTGCGGTTTCTCGCCGGCCGTCTTTTCAAACTCGGCCTCCAGCTCAGAGACCTGGCGACAAGACCGATGGGGAGGGCATCATAGCGGGCGGCTATAGGGTCGGCTGTGAGCCACCGCAGCACCAAACACCCGACACGACCAACGAAGGTCCGCCCCAGCATCCAGCCTGGCCAAAACCCACAACACATAACACTGGGCCAAAACGCACGATATTTGATGCTGGTGTTCACAGCCATGTCATAACGTTAAACCGCTACCATTATCAGATCACAATGATCGGATAATAACAGCACCCTGGCATCCAGAGTGAGCGACTCCACCGACCTGAACGGGCTTCAGAGAGGTGAGCTGTGCCTTGATGGCCGCCCCGATCCAGCGGTGCAGCTCCACAATGAGGCCCTTGGCTTCCTCGCGCACGCTCTTGTCCTTGTGCTCCATGATGACGGGGATCAGCTTCACCAGCGGCTTCAGCGTCAGGATCTTGTGACCGAACGAGCTGCCGCACAGGCCGGCTTACAGGTCAGATCGGTGGGGGGACGAGCTTGGATTAGCAGTGTTCTACTACTAATCCTGGAGACCAACTGCCTGGCTGGGGCAGGGCGATTCATTCCCCATATCTCACAGAGCACTGGGTAGAGTCCGGAGACAGATGCTGGTTAGGAGTAGTAAAACAGCCCAACCCAAACTGGGTGTGATTTTCACTTCGTACTTTACTGGCGGTGTTTCAGCAAACAATAAAGCCACATAGAAAAAAATGAGCGATCATTAATAATGTAGGGAACAAAAGCATACGATTATGGCTTTAATACCAAAATGAGATTTATTTCATCACGTTACAATCAAAGACAGCATCTTTGGACGGGGGAGGGGACGGGAAGGTGAAAATCACCGGGCCAGGCTAATACCGTCCAACATTTCGAGGGGACTGCAATGGCCGGAGGGCCGTTCCGCTGTGCTGGGAGTGCTCTCCACACCTGAGTGCCAGGGTCATGGCGCCGAAGGGAGGGCTCCACCCACCTGAGTGCCAGAGTCATGGCGCCGATGCAGGCGGCCACCACCTTGGGGTTCTTCTGCGAGAATCCCTTGATGAGCTCCTCCTGGACGATCTCGTACTTTTCGATTTCGACCACCATGAGGAGCAGATCGCGCGCCTTCTCCCGGGTGCTGGTCTTGGGCGCGGCGATGGCCTTCTGCACGATGGCAGCAACGACGTCACCACTCACCCTGGGGAGGAGGCGGGGACGTCAGTGGGACGGCAGGCGCCTCCCAACAGGGCAGAGCACCGGAGACCGGGCTGCCAGACTAGCTATCAGTAGCATCACCTCCCAACAGCACAGAGCACCGGAGACCGGGCTGTCCGACCAGCTATCAGGGGCATCACTTCCCAACAGGGCAGAGCATGGGCCACCGGGCTGCCCGACCAGCTATCAGGGGCATCACTTCCCGACAGGGCAGAGCACCGGCGAGCATAGCCAGACATCCAGGTGGCGGATGCGCTTCACCCTGGATAGTAGAAATTACATCCGACATCGGAATGTATCTAACAGAACAGGGTCAGCAATTAAATAAAATAGACTAGCTTTGATAAAAGATAATACTACGGTGGGCTTCCCAATATACCCCTGAGCCCCAACCACCATTTGATACTTGACGAGCCGAATCCAGAACAAAGGGGAACGTACCGGCCAGCCACATGGGCATTCTCCATGAAGACCAGGGAAGCCTCCAGGCCCTTCTCTTGCGCCACAGCATTGCTGTCAGCAACAAACTTCTTAATTAGGGGAGCATAGCGGTTAAACTCCGGGGCCTTTTCATCAAGCTGCTGGAACAGTAGTGTGGCCTCTTCATAGCCTTTGAGACGAGCCTTCCACAGCTGAAACAGAAAATAACGACACGACGTCATAATAGATACCGTAAGTATTCATAATATGGATGATCCTCCCGGTCCGAGGCCGAGGGTGCCATACTATGACGGTTTATTGCGCAATCACTCGGAAAGTGTTTGAGAAAAAGCGCTGAAATTTGGCATGCTGATGGCTGATTCAAGCAGATCTTTTAGCACAAACATCACTGAACGTAAAACTCGGAAAGCCCCCAAAATTTCTTATGATTTGCCATTACAATTATGAGAGTATGAGGTATAGTTAGATTCGTGAACTATAAGCAGCAATAGTGATTTCAAATGACATCCAGCTTTCACTAGTGATATGTCAATGTCTGACCTTGTGTTGGCATTTATCCTCCGTGGAGAGCTTCAGGTATTCGTTGTCTTCCTCCATGTCCAGCAGCCTACCCTGTGAATGAAGACACACACAAAACAATGTGAAACTGTGAACCGAACCTTTGTTACGGAGCCACCTGATAATTGTTATTTGCCCCAGCTTCTGAAGTATTACATAGACAGCCATATCATTCTCAAACTCCCAAGGATCTCTGCCCTCTGGTCTCATCAGTCAATTAAACCCCGAAAAGCTTGAACCATTTGATGGCTAACGATGGTCTACAAAGGGTCATTGAAATACTTATTAACCTCAAGCAGTAGCCTGATTGGAGCACATTGAGCCAGGGGCGGGTGAAAGCGCACGGTCCCCTGTAACACGGCTTCTGTGCGACAAGGCCAAAAGAGGTAGGCAGCCCTGCTTAGTGCTTACGTAGGTTTGTAAAACTACAAAAGAAATTATAAACAAAATACTTTTATCATTTGAATCTCGCCGGACCTATTGCATTTCCACATACTGGGCCCAAGGGGTGGGACGGGTACGACCCCCCTCTCCGTTTCGCCCCTAATTGAGCTGGAGCCTTGCAGGAAAAAAAACAGCGTGTGAGCCGTTACAAGACGCAGCAACTGGTACCCGATTTCAAAGTCTCTGGTCAACCGGTAACCTCTGAGGTCAGGTCAAGTGCACCAGGATCCGGAATTGTTTTTGGTTTTGTTTTTCCATCGTTTTCTTCATGCCCAGGCATGTCGAATAATACAGTCAACAGTGTGCCCCGAAAGTTCGTGTACACATTTCCCATGCAAATATTGCATATGAGAACCAGCTGAAAAGCCAAGGTTTTGATGCTCATAAGTGCACTAGACAGGTTACATGCTTTCAAGCTATTGCAGGGGAATCCTCTGCAGTTTCTGCATCAGACTTTGGTTTAACGAGCTCCACAGCAGCATTGGCTTTTTCCTGAAAGCCGACAGCTTGCATCGACACCATTCATGAGTATTTTGTAGTTATTCACTGGAGTCTTGCGCCAACCCCTTCATGAAGAGTGAAGACTGGCGCTGACATTTCAAGCACCAATTTCCTTTTCAAAATGTGGGGTACATTTTTCGCATCATATCGTAGCAGGGTGTGTCGGCCATCTGTTTAACCCTCGCCCGTATAGGGGGGGGGGGGGGGTCGAACGGACCCCCCATGAGCCCTGATCGGCGGCCGGCTAGTACTCTTGCCCGCGCTCACATACGTGCACGTTACCCCGGCAACGGGCTATTGACCAATGAGAAGCGAGAAAAGTGTTACGTCACTGCGATTTTTCATATACCTGTGCCCCCCGGACGTGACGTAGTGTGCTCGCGCGCGTGCAGGGTCTCTGCGATAGAAAAAGAGCGCTAGCAGCGCGCCACTCGACGCCGCAATTGTCAAAAGTGGCGTGTTAGTATGCTTTATTATGAATGATGTGTGTAAAAGTGAGTTTTTATGTTGTTTATTTGGAGGAAATGGTTGGAATAAATTAAGTTATTTTTATTTCTGTTGGTTGGAGTTTTTATTAAAAAGATTTCGGTCTGTACCATTGATATTTACTGAAAATACCTTCGCTTGAATAAATTGCAGATATTTGGCAACTGAAGTGTTAGGTAAGCCTAAATCATATGTAAAAAGGTAAGAGACACCCTGATTATCATTTGAGAAACGAAAATATATGAATTTTCTTTATAAGACTCGCTCAATATGCTACTCCGCGGTTTATGCCCCGAGGGTGTCCGAGGGTTCCCGTTAGTTTGTCGTTGGCGCTCGGCTCGCGCGCGAGCCGACGTCACCGCCTGTGACGTCGGCTCGCGAAATACGTCATACCCTGCACACAAAATAGCCGGCTGCCGAACAGCGCTATGGTTTTTCGCGAATAACTCGCGTAAAAAGCGGCCGATCGCGACGAAACTTGCAGTACCCTCGCGTTAATCAATTTTACACCTACCCTGAAAATTTCATGACCCTGACCCCAATGACCTTTGACCTGTGACCTACTTTTCGAGACCATGTTTGGCCGGAATCGCGATTCTGCGTATGTCGGCTAGCATTAGCCGCGCGTTTGCAGTCTTTGCGTGGTTTCAACCGTTCAAACATGTGATATGATGTTGCCCCCATGCATTAGGGTGGGTGTCAAGGTCACCTGAAGGTCAGGTCAGGTCACTGACCTTTGGTGACCTCGGTTCACTTTTTCGAGTTTTACATGTTTCTAGGCCAGTTTTTGGAGCTGAATTCGAATTTAGCAACTAGCTCGATCAGGGGCGAAACGGCAAGGGGGGCGTCCAACGGACCCCCCCCCCCCTTACACGTTCGCGGCTGGAAAAACACCAATACGGGCGAGGGTTAAGAGACAGTGCAATTTTTCAACTCCCAAACGCTCATCATTTCCCAGGCCAAAACATTCACTAGGTTGGCAGAGTGCCACCCTTCTCTTGAGGGTGGACTTCCAAGGGAGGTAGATAGAGGGCACATATTTTGAAACAACACAGTGTGGTTTTTATATTATTATTTCAAATTCTTGTAGGTGGGTAACTATTAGATTCTGTAGGATATAGTTTTTTAAACATATATTGTTCATTTTTGAGCAGGTAATTCTGGGATGCATACTGTGATACCGCTGTGATTGCACAATACGCCCCGCCGCCACCTCTCCCGAACAGTCACCCTCGTTAGGCCTATAAAATAACTCTTACTCTTACTCAGACCAGGGCCCTGTTCGGTCGCTGTTTTTATATCAGCGTGCACTGTGCTGTCGGTTTTCCCTATATAAGGAAGTTATTGCTGTTATTGCTGGCGCGGCTTGGCCTCTCATTGGTCTAACGAATAGCCCCCTTGAATTCAACCAATGAGGAACCAAGAAGTAGCAGCATGGTCACAGCCTGCTGATAAATGAACATTGAACAGGGTACGAACAGAGCTCAGGGTGGGAATCAGTCCATGGCAGGCGGCAGCCCCTCCCCCTCCCCCCCACACACACACATTCGAAGCAAAGCGAGCACAACACAAAACTGAAACCAACCAAAACAGGGTTACAGTTATGAGTTACCTCTTTTCGCCTTGTGGCACTGGCACAGGGGTTCAGTTACAACGAGCTGTGAATTTTTACCCAAACAAGCAAGGTGAAGATAAGGAGGCGAGGCATTGAGCACCTGACCTTTATCTGCATGCTTTCAGCTTATGCTGCATGCATCCACAAACCTCAATCCTTTATCCAAGCTTTGGGGACGATCAGGATAAAACTGAAATTATTTGAACCGTTCACAAACTTCACAAACAGCCCCTTTTCGCTTGATTTCTTCCGAACTAACGGTTTCAACTTGTTTCGTTTGTGAATGCGTTTGTCTACAGCTGCTGATTTGAAAGTGAGCAATTGTGTTCTAATTCCTGTTCGTAGTCATGACGATTAACACTAACTGAATCTTCTATTGGTTACTAACGAATATTCATCAACTGCTAACGATAGCCTGTCGTTTGATGACGTACGCATAAACGGTCGTCAAGGTTGACGGACGACCGTTACGCATTGCAATTCTTTGACACGGGAAGCGCATGAAACGAATCTCAAACCAAGGCCCTAAATACATCTCGATCCTCCTCGAGGCTCGAACAGGGCCAAGGGCGCACACAAGGGGGGGGGGCACACGGGCCCGTGCCCCCCATTCGAGTTGGGGGCCCAACTATAAGGATTAGCGGGCCCATTTCAATTTGAGGCGGCCGAAGGCCGCCTCAAATGGGCACTAATCTTTAGATCGCCGAAGACCGTGCATAGAAATGAGCTAAAATAATGATTGGAAAGAGCGAAAGACCGGGAGGGCCAATCCATTGACCTATACTAGACTTAGACTAGACTTATAGAGGGCAATGGGCCCATCTCATTCCCCAGGAAGCCCACATGAGTCCATATGCGCAGTAGCGCAGCCAGAGTGCAATTGTGGTGAAATTTCAATGGCCCTCAAAAGGCCTCAAAGGGCCCTCGGATGGCGTCACAGGGTCCTCAGATGGTCTCGAAAGGCCCTCAGCGTCAAATGGCCCTCAGATGGCCTCAACGAGCCACTAGATGGCCTCAACGGGCCACTAGATGGCCTCAAAGGGCACTCAGCTAACGTCAAACGGACCTCAGAAGGCTTTAAAGGGCATCAAAGGGCCCTGAGCTGACGTCAGAACCAGGGCCCCAAGCTGATGTCAGAGGGTCCTGAGCTCGCATCAAACGGCCCTCTGAAGGCCTTAAAGGGTCCTTAGCTGGTGTCAGAGGGCCCCCAGCTAGTGACAGCGGGCCCTTAGCTGGCGCCAAATGGCCATCAAAAGGCCTCAAGTGGTCCTCAGCTGGAGTCCAACGGTCCTCAGCTGGCGTCAAGCGGCCCTCAAAAAGCCTCAAAGGGCCCTCATAGGTATGGCATCAAAGGGCCCTCAGCTGGCGTCAAACAGACCTCAGAAGGCCTTAACCCGCGCGGGGCTGGGGGGGTAAATTTTACCCCCCCTCGCGAATTTTTGCGATATCTCAAAAACGGCGGCGCGCAGCGCCGCCAAACTTTCAGTACCTTTTCTTACATCAATTTGACACGTTCCCTGAAAATTTGAGCGAAATCCGTCGGAAAATTTTTGAGAAATTGAGGTTTTAGTGACGTCATGTTCGCCATTTTCGCCTCAAAAACGGCAAAAGTTCAAACGCCGCTAACATCTTCATTTTTAAAGGAATCAAGACGTAACAAAAAGGTTATACGTAATTTTACTTTGTCTATCAAATGGCTATCTCGGTTTTTTGAAAATTTTGGATTTTGGCCTAATTTTTTTCAAAAAACTGATTTTTTTGGGAAAATCATTATAAAATCCAAAATTTTGAGTCTATCGAAAAAACCGGAATATATGTCAGAGAAGTGGTCTATGTGCACCTACATACCAAATTTTAGAAGAATCTGTTCAAAAATGTGGGAGTTATTCAAAATTTTATGACGTCACGACACACAATTTTTTTGAAAAATGACTTTTTTGGAAGTTCTAGACCTCGTACGGAAACAAAAATAGCACCATTCGATTCGCCGTGCACTGAAAGCAATTTTACACTCACATCGCCGTATTAACACCACCTAAAGGTGTAAATAGCAGACTGAGCACTATATGCAGGTCTGTAACACGGCAATTACGCTTAGAAACTGATCAAAGCGAAATTACACCTCGTTGGTGTGCAAATCACACCCATACAACACCTTATGGAGGTGCAATTCTGAACTTTAACACCTAGCTTTTGTTCATTTACGAATAACACCTTCCTGTAGTGTAGATGATCGCGCTTCATGTGTGCTGTGTTATTGACAAAGGATCCTTGATCTGCGATTGCCGCATTTTTGTCTTGGCTCAACACTGCTCTGAAGTGTAATGTACCGGACGGCAAAGGCGCATGCGCGTGACGCCGCTCGCGCACCCACGCGGCTTTCAGTGCGCCATTGTGCTTCAACGAACGTGGTTGTTAGTGTGCTGAGCTGGTGTGACTATTGAGCATTGAGGAAGACCCATCTGCTCCAGAACGGGTAAGTAGATGACAGCAGCATTTTCAAGATTATACTTTTTCTCGAAAAATTAGGACGTGCGTGATTTCCAAAGCTAATTTGTAATGCAGGGATGGGAAAAATGAGGCGTGCCGTGGTGCTGGCTTTGCTCTGCTTCTCTTGATGATATCTATGGCACTAGGATTATTGGTTTTTGCTTCATCCTTGTTTAATACTAGAACTTCGTCAAATTTTTACGTTTGGAGACCTCCCGTGACCTCAGCAATGACCTGATCAAAAAATGACCTGAATGATTCTGAACGATCTATAACGAGCTATCTGTTGCTTTTGTCTGCGTCTTAGCTAATGCTTTCTTAGTTAACCTGGCGTGCCCCCCTCCCCCCATGGCGAAGTTGGCTGAGAGGCCCACCCGGGCGCGGGTTAAAGTTTCTGGCAGCGGCCTAGTATGAGTCATTTCGCTTCCCATGTGTGTTTCAGAGAAGGAACTCGAATACCTTCTACTCGAGATGCGTGAGGAGCAGGTCGTTTTTGGCACTGCGACAACGAACGGACCGTCCACCATCGCAGATGGCGCATTTTGGGTCGAAAGGGGGAAGATCACCGAATTCCAAACAAAATGGCGAACATGCAGGACGAGCTGTACATCACGAACATCGCTATCTTCTTCGAGCGCGCTCGCAGGCGCTGGACTCGAACGCCTAGCCCCGGTTCATATCTGCAGGGGACTCGCCGTTTCATGTACTTGTTGCACGAATCAACGTCCAATAAACGTTAAAATATTCTGACATTATACTGGTGTTTATTCTTCGTAAAGAGCGTGAGCGTGACCGGTGCAGAGGAAAGGGGGAGGAGGGGAAGGGGATTTGGAATCAACAACACCCGAAATCGGATCGATATATACACTCGGAAGGCGTGCTCTGCCCTAGGTGTAACACTACAGTAAAAGGTCAATCACGAGTGTAACCGCCTTTTTCATCCGCCTGGAGAGTGTAAACGTGCAAAGTCAACGCCCCGGGCGAATGTCCTGTTACACTTTATTTGAGTGTAAACATTACACCTCAGACGAGGGTAAAAAAACGCAGAATTTCAGCTACACCCTCCTCGGGTGTTTACACCCAGGAAAGGTGTAAAAAAGTTTTCAGTGTGAAAACTGCATCAGATAGACACCTTTTTGGGCCTTAACAACCAACTTCAAAATTTGACCTCACTTGACCTGACCTTGACCTGACCTCGACCTGAAATTCATCCAGAGGTGGTCCATATAACTTATTGAGTGTGCCTATTGAATTCTATGAGTAAAATGACCCATAAAACATGTGTCGCACATGCCCTTTTCTATATTTTGTTTTTTGGTGACCTGACCTGACCTGACCTGACCTTGACCTTGACCTCTGAATGATATTGTATGCAACGAATATTGTCTTGGTAGCCTAAGAACACGTTTTGGGCGATCAGTCTCAGTCCACATGACTCCATTCTTCGGCAACTACGGTGCAAGGCCGATACTGTAGAAACTTGCAATTTGTACCCTTGACCTGACCATGACCTTGACCTCAAACTTTAAATTAAGTACATGTTTTTAGTAGTTCGTGATGAGAGCTTTCGATTGGCGTTTGAATTTTCCAAATCGGACCATTAGTTCGGGAGATAACAGGGGGGGTAAAATTTACCCCCCCCCCCCCAGCCCCGCGCGTTCGGCTGGAGACCCCAGCCCCGCGCGGGTTAAAGGGCGTCAAAGGGCCCTGAGCTAGCGTCAGAGGGTCCCCAGCTGATGTCAGAGGGCCCTGAGCTGGCGTCAAACTTATATGGCCCTTAGCTGGTGTCAGAGGGCCCCCAGTCAGGGCCTCGTCTAGCATGTTAACTGGGGGAGGGGGGGGGGGCAAACCCCCGCAGTCACCTGCCTGCCCCCCCCCCCCGCCCGCCCCAGTCAGGATAAAATGTCACTAGGTACTGGGGGGCCGGCAAAAGCGAAAAGGATAACTAATTTTTATTGGGAGGCGTCAGTCCAAATGCGCAAACGAAATATGGATGCAATGTGAGCACATTGATATACCCGATTACCTGTTACTGTTTTCACGTCTTTATTTTGTTTATCTGATACCAATCTTTTTTTCGCTCAGCAATACGTTACCTTTAGTCTTTTCAGGCGAGCCGTGTCCCGCACATTCTCCTTTACGTATCAATCTGTTGTTTCTGTCCTCGGGGCGTCAATCTGTTGTTTCTACCTATATCGTGGTTCTATAATATCGTGGTATCGTGGTCCTCACTACGCGACGCTCAACTTCTGGCTGGACGGTCACCGGTGTGCGGCGAGAGTAGTTCCTAATCGTAATGAAGCAGGCTCCCATTCTGGACGATTGCAAGCTCAGCTTGGTGGTCTGTCTCTGGGGACGGGAAAGACCATTGTGGGCTAACAGAGGCCGACGTGGGTCCAGAAGCTGCCGCATGGACCCCCAGGGCTCGGAACCTGACGCTCAGAAGTCAGAAACCGGCGGGGCCCATTATGAAACCGATGAAGCTCGCAAAAAAATATATGCGTGCGGGCCCTCGGCTAAGGCCCACGGGAGCCGTCCGTCCAGCCGGCGAAGGCCCACAGAAGTGGTTTGGGACTCTCAATAATTTAGGTACCTACGTAGGGCCTCAGATACCTACCATGTGAAGGGTCGTCGGAGAATGGTGCAAGGTCATGTAGGCGTTATGCTACGTAATACTGTATTGTATTGTATTGTATTTATTGTATTGTACTGTATTGTATTTATTGTATTGTATTGTATTGTATCGTATTGTATTGTATTACCGTCATGGACAATCCACACGGGGCGTGGCGATCATAGG